GGGCGGCTCGGGCGGCTCGGGCTGTCAGCGGCACAGGCGGCTCCTGCGGCTCGGCTCCACAGCTCCGCAGGCGGCTCGGGCCGGTGGCTCACGGCAGGGACGGGTGGTGCACGGGTGGCCGGGAGCTGGGCCGGGAGAGGTAGCGCGCGGGCGGCTGGGAGCGGGGCCGGGACGGGTGGAACACGGGCGGCTGGGAGCGGGGCCGGGACGAGTGACGCACGGGCGGCTGGGAGCGGGGCCGGGACGGGCTGCGCACGGGTGGCGTGGGGCCGGATCGGGCGGCGCACGGCGTCGAGGGGCCTGGCGGGCAGCGCGCGGGCGTCGAGGGGCCTGGCAGGCAGCGCGCGGGCGTCTAGGGGGGGGCCGAGACGGGTGGCTCGCGGGTACTAAGGGCAGCGCGCGGGCAGCGTGGGGCCTAGACGGGCGGCTCGCGGGCTAGAGGGGCAGCGCGCGGGCGGCGTGGGGCCTGGACGGGCGGCGCGCGGGCTTGAAGAGCAGCGCGCGGGCGGCGTGGGGCCTGGACGGGCGGCGCGCGGGTGTCTAGGGGCCGGTGCGCGGGCGTCAAGGGGCCAGGACAGGCGGCGCGTGGGCATCTAAGGGCGGCACGCGGGCGTCTAGGGGCCGTTAGGGCAGATCGAAAGAGTAAGAGAAAGGGCCCGGAGCGCGCTCCGAGCAGAAAAAAAGTTTGATGTGGTGGGCCCTAAGCACAGTTCCCACGGGGGAACCTGCTCGATACCATGAGAAAGTTAGAACGAGAATGAAATGACTATGAACGAAGTGAGTACAAATAGGAAACCCTAATTGGGTTGTACCCCCTATGGGATACCCCACTATAGCCTACATAAATAAGTAAGCTATAATGTTCTGACAGTGTAAGGAAAATCACTTTTCCTTACTTCGCATCCCTGCTCAACGCGTACATCACTATAGCACCACAGTCAGCACCGTTACCACTCTCGACCCTCGCATCGACAATCAGCCCGCCATTTTCGCACATCGCACCCCAACCTCGCGGCTCGGCAGGTAACCCGCGCTCCGGGCCTCCGCTTCGACACTTTCCCAAACCTCAGTCCTAGGCTTGTCATGCGACAACCACAGTCCATTACCGTTACCACTGTAGTTTTGCTATATATTCTTCGCTCATGCCTTCGCTCATTGTATTATTGTTTCGATAGTCCAATTCTCGTTCATTCACTCAATTGCACTCGTAACACTACCCCACTACAGCATACACAGACTATAGCGTAAAAGTTTGACAATATGAAATGCCGCCGGGGCATTGGTCAGCTCGAAGGGCATCACAGTATACTCCAGCGACCCGTACCTTGTCTTGAAAGCTGTTTTGGCGCGGTTCGATGGTTCGACTCTAATCTGATGGTAACCCCCGCGTAGGTCAATTTTCGAGAACACCCGTGCTGTTTGCAGTTGGTCTATCAGTTCGTCGGCGCGAGGAATGGGGTATCGCGACTTTACTGTTACCCTGTTCAGTGCTATGTAATTGATGCACATGCGAAACCCTCCATCTTTTTTTGGCATGATTAATATCGGTGCGGCGAACGGTGACGAGCTCGATCGGATGAATTTCTTCTCTAACAAGTAATCTAACTGCTTCCTCAGTTCGTCAGTCTGATTTGGCGCTGTACAGTTGGCTGTGCTCCCGGTTCTAATTCTATTTTGTGATCGTGTGCTCGCTAAGGTGGCAGTCCTTCCGTTAAGTCGTCGAGAAAAATCCCCGGGTATCGTTTCAACAGCTCCTATAGTTCGGGCGGTACGGCTGCTAGGAGTTTCCGAAAATCATTCGGCTGCTCTACTTCTCCTACTACTGCGATGTCCACTGCGTACAGGACAGCTCCAGCAGCGACTGCCCGTTTCATCGTGATGGCGTTGACGTGGACCGTTGAAGACTCAGGCGACTGCTAGCGCGGTAGTTCGATCCAGTTACCACTACTTCGCACAGTGCAGCTTCCTTTCGTCCAGTCAATTCTCGGGTTGTAGCGTCGTAGCCAATCACGTCCCAGTAAAATTTCATGCCCATCCAGTGTCGTCGCGAGCATTTCCTATGTTAACCCGAAGCTTCCTCCGCAACAAACTTTTACTCTTTCCACCTTCTCCCGTATGGCCAACGGCGTGCCATCAACTAAGCGTGCGTTGGTCTCTGGTAAGCACCGGCTGAGTGTTAATTGCACTTTCCGTGCGGTTGCGGTATTAACTAAACTGTGGCTTGCTCCTCCGTCGATAAAAATCTTCACTGCTGCTCCCTGTATTTTCCCGTGGATCAGTACTGGGCAATCCGTCGCTGTACCCTCCTTATTCATTCGAGCCCGATCGATGGCGTGAATCGGTACTATGACTCGGTGAGGGTTGGTGGGGTTGGGCGAGCAGGCAGTCTCGTCAGTAGTTGGCCCAACTTCTTCTGACTGCTGGCGCTTCCCCGCCTCTGAGACTCCCTCCCCTGCTCTGCTCCGCGGCGCCTTAGCTCCTCTGGGCATTCGCTCTTGCGATGGCCCGGCCGATTGCAAGCAAAGCAGCGCCCCTTAAACGGTGCGATAGCTGCATTCGTCGCAACGGCATGTACGGTGGCGTGCTCGATCGGTCCCCGAGGACGATGTCCGTAGTAGGACCCCGGTCTCGGACGGCGTAAAATGTCGATTTTCTCGGCGAGCGCGAGAATCTCGTTGAAGTTCGAGAGCCTGCGTAGCATGATCTCGTGCGAGATGTCCGGCTTCAGCCCTCCGACGTAACGGTCCACCCGCTCTGCTTCGTGCATGTAGCCGACTTGCTCGCATAATGCGAGAAAACCACTCGTGTAGTCTTGAACCGACCCGAGCTGCCGCCAAGTACGCAGTTTCTGACGCGCCGAGATAGAAGCCGCGATTGGCTCAAAGCGCGCCCGAAGCCCTACGCACCACGCATCCCATGTGCTGTTCTGGGCAGTCTCGCAAAATGAACTCCAGGTGACAACTGGACCCGTGGGCCCTTCCTCTTGCGACGGTGGCTCGTAGGCGCGTGGCGACGTCACGATGACTCGCCACCAGTCCATGGCGGGGCCCCTCAGCAACGAAACGGCATAACAAATCTTCGCTGCGTCCGACTCGACGTAATTCGCGTCGAAGAAGGCGTTCATCATGAAGACCCACGATTGAACCGTTGGACCTCCACGCTGGCTCGGGTTGAAGCAGGGCGGGCGTTGCGGCTTGACTGGCATTGGTGCCATAATGGTTTGTTCGCCACTTGTCGTGACGAACTCCACGCGCCGACGGGCTTCACGAGGCTCCCGCGGGCTTGGTGCGACCCCGTTTCCTCCCATGCCAGGCATCGGCTGGGCGGCGCCATCACTGGCTGCGCCTGAGCGCTGTCCCACGCTGTCGTGTTGTGTTGGTGTGCCGGACGAAATGACGATCGGCTCGTTCGATTGTGTAGATGCATTTGTCGGTGCGTGTGGTGGCGCTGGAGTGTTCACGGTGGATTGCTGACGCGCGAAGTCACGTTCCGCCGTGAGCGTCGCAATTTCGAGCGCCAATTCTTCAACTTGGCGCACCAGACGGTCAAGCTGCTCCTGCGTCAATGTGGCGAGTGTGAATTCGGCCATGGCGGAGGTGTCGGGCGAGCTCAACGAGAGCCTCGGTCGTGGCCGTGCGTGCTTACGAGAGAGCACTACGAGCGGCGGTGCTGTGTCGCTGAGAGACGTCTACCCCCCCCCAAAAATTGAGATAGTGGGGAAGCGAAGGTGTGGGTGCGGTCCGAGAAGAGATCGTAGGCTCTGAATATCAAGTGTTACGAGTGCAATCGAGTGAGGGAACGAGAATTGCACTATCGAAGCAAAAGTACAATGAGCGAAGGCATGAGCGAAGAATATATAGCGAAACTACGGTGGTAACGGTAACGGACTGTGGTTGTCGCGCAACGGGCCTGGGACTGAGGTTGGGGAAAATGTGGAAGTGGAGGCCTGAAGCGCGGGTTACCTGCCGAGCTGTGAGGTCGGGGTGCGACGTGCGAAGGTGGCGGGAGGATTGTCGATGCGAGAGTTGCGAGTGGTAACGGTCCTGACTGTGGTGCTACAGTGGTGTACGCGCTGAGCGGGGACGCAAAGTAAGGAAAATTAATTTTCCTTACAGTTATGATACAACTGCCTACTTTTCTTCAGCATGCAATTCTCCACGTCAGCTTCTCAAATGAGCATTAGGTCACATTGGAGCACATGATTCACTGATCTTACAGTGTTCTGTTATGTATTTGCGTAGCTGGATAGATTGTTGGATGTAATATAATGGCATTACGGCTATTAGCGAAAGCGTAACTCGCTCTTTCTTTTCTGGCGATTCTCGTTTGAAGGTCTCAGCGGAGCCGGCTTTGCCTGGGCGGCTCGATCCGTTTCGTTCACGGCGGATCGTGTTCGTTTCAAGTCGATTGAGTCACAATGAGGTGCAGCGTTATCGAATTTGCGCAACATCGAGAGGCGAACAGCCAATCGAAATCAAAATCCCCTCAATTTGCTCTCACCCTTTTCGTAAAGATTTTCCCTTCAAGCCGCACGTCGTGATTGGGGCTGAAGCGACGCTTCTTTGCTCCTGCGTGCTGTCGCCTTGGCTTGGGTTTGGCCAAGTGCTTGTGCTGGGGGGCGGCCTTTGGTTGGGCTGGTTCAGCCCTGGGTGCCGGTGCGGCCTCGCGGGCTGGACCATAGGTTGTCAACTCTGGTTGGTTGGTTGGAGGAAGGGCAGCCTCGCTGGATTAACTCTATACAAGTGCGCGCAGTCAGCGATGCGACGCCGTCTTCTCGACAAATTATTTAGTGCATTCATTATGTCAGCGTTTCCGGTCATCCGCCACTTCGTCTGAGTTACGCTACCTTGGGCGAGCACTTAGGCCGCTACTTACTAACCCTAGTGTCATCCCCCGTGCAACCGAGCGTCCTCCTTTCTACGAAGTGATAAAGAAAAGCCTCAGCTTGGTAGACAGACGATTTTCTCGAACCCCTTTGAACCGCGAGCGTTTGGTTCCTAATGGGGGCGCCCAGCCTCCTGGCGCTAATACCACTACTGTTGGTCCTGGCGGTATACCGCTTCACGCATGGTGCCACGGGTTCAACGGAAAGCGTACCTGTCACCGCTTATTATGTCGGCGGAAGCACAGGCGTGACAATTAATGCGTCTCAGCCGTACGAGGGCTGGGGTGGTGTGTCGCTGATGGAGCTGGAGGCCGCCGCGAAAGCCGCCGCTAATGCCGCTGCGGAGGCCGAGCCCACGTCAGCGACGAGCTCGTCTGAGGCTGGCGAACGCGTTTCAGAGAAAGCAGATGCCGAGGGCGGGTTGCGCCGGAGCCTTGCGTGAGTATCAACACCATATCGAGTACAGGGTGCAGTCTCCGCAATGCCTTTTTCGATTTCGTCTCTTTGGTGCCAAGTCCAGCAAAGCACTGTCACTCGTTCTTTCCTCTAAACTTGGTCTAAACTTGCGTCGCATTCTCCCCCACCTTCCCCCTCCCTCCCCACCTGCTCCGGGCCCCGCTTCTTCTCCCCCCTGCTTCCCAACCCTCCGCAGTGGCAGCTCCGCGCTAAGCCCACTCGCGTCCGCGTGGCACAGCCTCCTGATCGCGCAGTACATGAGTCGTACCACGGCGTGCGGCGCAACGCTAACGCGCGCGTGCCGCGCGCTGCAGATGGCGGACAGCCTCGTGAAATCGGGGAAGCCGGGGGAAGCCGTTGCGCAGACCAAGCTGGCGGGGTCCCTCGCACAAGTAAGTGTCGGTGAAGCGATTTGCCTTACGGTTTTTTCTGTTTGCTTGTTTCCTCGTGTTTTCCTGTTGCGTTGGGAGCTGCTAAAGCGAACAACCTACGCACGTGGTAACAATTTGCCGACGGTCGGATGCGTTTGTGCGGTGATTGCAGGCATGCGCGGGAAAGGTCCCTGCCAGCGCGGCGGAGCAAATACGTCTCGCCCTGCCGCAGATCAGCCTCGGGCAAAACGCTCTTTTGGCTGGCAGGTCAAAGTCCGTGCGCCCGTCAAGTACGAGCGGGAGGCAGAAGAGCTCGTCCGGGAGTAAATCGAGTTCGTCTGAGAAGAGAACGACGTCGACAGGGAGGAAGAAGGGAGGGCACAAGTGGAAGGATAACCCTGCGACGAAGGACCGCAAAAAAGGGGGCCATAAGTCTAAGAATGTCCCAGCCACGAGTAATCGCGTGAAGGGGGGGCACAAATACAAGCGGGGCGCCAGGAGACGTAGTTCGCGAAAGACGGGGGGTTCTTCGAAGGCGCCTGCGAAGAAAAATGGCTCGAAGGCTCCTGCGAAGAAAAGTGATTCGAAGGCGCCTGCGAAGAAAAATGACGAAATCGGCTGGTTGGGACACAACGACGTTGCGCAGGGGGTAATGCAGTGGCTGCCGTATGGTAACCCGATCGACGACTGCTGGATGGGTCCCAACTGGCAGGCCACTCCGACGAAATTGGCGAGCTGCGTTGAGGGTTACGCGACGGGTACCACTGGCGGCGCGAAAGGGCGCATTTACCACGTGACGTCGAATCAGGACGATCGGATCAACCCCAAGCCCGGGACTCTGCGATACGGCGCGACCCGGGCCGAGCCGCTGTGGATTGTATTCGATAACGATTTCGACTTTAGCGGGTTGGATGCGGAGATCATCGTGTATAACGACAAGACGGTGGACGCTCGTGGGCGAAAAGTGACGATGGGTAACGGCCCGTGCATGGCCATCGAGTTTTCGCACAACGTCATCGTGCACGGCATGGCGTTCAAGAACTGCAAGAACCGCGTGTAAGTGATCTAGCCCCGTGTTGTTCCGTCGTTGCGATTTCGCTATATCACCCTCTCTTTCCTCGCACATCGTGATCGTGCACGGCATGGCGTTCAAAAACTGCAAGAGCCGCGTGTATGTAACGCAACCCCGCCGTTCCCTTCATTGTACCTCTCCCTGCGTGTTGATGCACCTCTCCCCCCCCTGAGGCGCCGCTCCCGCTGTTCGAGAAGTGCCGAACGCACCGGTAATCGCCCTCTCATTCTATGCTACTCCCCACGCTCCTCCCCCCTTTTTGTCATTCCTAACAGCGGTGCTACTTCGCTGACCACGGGCCCTGACAATACAGTAAGCGGGCGGAACTACCTTAACGGGTATGGGCTGTACATCTACGCATCGCACCACGTGTGGGTGGACCACTGCTCGTTCGACTACGCGGATGACACCCACATTGATATTGTCGCGGCCAGCACTGCCATCACCGTTTCCAACTGCTACTTTACAAATCAGGATAAGGTGTGTGAAATTGTGGAAGTGTTGAGGGGGGCTATAAGGGGGACATAGCGGATATCAATCACGTTTGCTTCCCCCTTCCTTCCCATCCCCTCATTTCCATGTCCCCCCTCTCTCCCCTCTCCCTACCTTTCTACCCTCTCCCCTTCTTCCCAGGTAATATTGATGGGGCATGACGATGCGTACAGTGCTGACCGTGCCATGCGTGTAACCGTCATGCTGAACAAGTTCGGTCCGAACCTGTTGGAGCGCCTGCCTCGGGGCAGGTTTGGGCAGTTCCACGTGGTGAACAACTACTACCCGAACGGGTGGGGCATCTATGCCATTGGAGGGAGCGCTGACCCGACGTTTCTGAGCGAGGGCAACTATTTTGTGGCCAATGACAAGCCGTTCCTCAAGGAGGTATGTTTCTCTTATGTTGATGATATCAACTTATTTGGAGCTCTCTGCTGTGTTCCTGAGTTGGCCTCTTTACACTGCTCTGTCCTGTTCTCTGCTGTGTCTGCTGTGCTGTTTTTGCCTTACTGTACCTCTGCTTCAGGTGACAAAGCACAACATAGCAGCAGGGCAGTCCACGTACATGAGCTGGGACTGGCAGTCTGTAGGTGACCACTTTGAGAACGGGGCCTTCTTCACCAAGAGTGGGTCGCCGGGCTATAAACCTTCGTACTCCTACAAAGCACTTAGTGCTCTAGAGGTGCCACGTGCAACCAATCGTGCTGGCCCTATTGGACAATAGGGCGGTTTGTGACTTGGTGCTGCTAACTTCAACCAGTAAGTGGGGATGGTTGCTAGAAGACTCTGCGCTGCAACTTCTAAAGCTTAGGGTGAGACTAGGATTCTGACAACCATTCCGGCTAAGAGCTAGTTTAGGGGCGCGATAGTGCCTAGTACGGTAATTCAGTAGGCAGGGACAATGATATGGACGTGGTGTTGGAGTAGATTAATGAAATAATAGGGGCATTATTGGGATGGTGTATAAGGCTTGTCAGATATTGCTGGAGGCGCTGTACTCGTGATTTCTTATATATTGTATGGCATTTTTTTGCTGTGAACTGGTATATCGACAGAGAAGGGCCACATAGTCAACAAACACATCCTTATTGGTATTAATTTGATAGTGCATCACTTTCGTAAATTTAGGGCATGTATGCCACTGCAACTGTATGCCTGGTGTCAAGGTGCAGCCCTTTCTAATGCGTACAGCAGCGACGCATCTGTGCTTTCGTTTCTGTCACGCACAACCATCTCCGTCGGATTCGGATTCTCCCGTCAAACCCGAGGCTCTTTCGCACCTCACCCCACCTATTGCAAATTTCCGTCCCGCCTTCCGTCAAAACCTGTCTGATCCCTGACACGCGATCTCTGGTCGTGGAAGCATAAACTGCAGTAGTTACTGCTAGTTAGGTTTGGTCTCTTGCTGTTCAGCTTGTGACTCTAGGGTATTGTGTTTCTACGCGCAGCCGGAGTCTTGATTTAGAAAGCTTGTTTGTGTGGTACTCGTTCCTGTGCTTCCATCTTGGTAGCAAACAAGGCATGTTGTACGCCTGATACGCCGCTGTTATCACGCTCGGGAAAGACCTAGGCTTTTCCCAGGAAAAAGACTACGTTAATTACCTTACTCGAACGGGGTCCACCGAGCCTGCTATCCAACTTTGTAGACTCCGTCGACTGACGAGATTTATTTTCGACGGAGTTTTGTAACAGAGGACATTGACGGAGCCTCGTAACGTAGTCTATTGACGGAGTTTGTTTCTCGTCATGGGAGCGACAAGGAAGCTTCAAGGAGAAATTGACCGGGTGCTTAAGAAGGTTCAAGAAGGGGTAGAAATCTTCGACGGCATATGGAATAAGGTACACAGGATAGGACGAGCATATCACACCCTCGAATCTTCGTAACATCGTCACCCACTGTTGTTACCATACAAATTAGTCATTCGCCTGTCGTTTTTTTCGCACGGTCATTGGTCTTACCGCAGCCGCTTAGCTGGCGGTTCCAGAACCATTTGTCTCTTTTAGGGTTTCGTTGTTGTCGACCGAGATACTATCGCAGGTTATGTGGTAGTCGATCAATATCGACTCGGATGAGTCAAGTATAATCAGCGTGTGATGTGAATCATTCCGCATGACTCTGGTCGTCTTTTTGACGTCAAGGAAATGCTTGAAGGAAATGCCTGCCTGAAGGAAATGCCTGAAATGGCAAATGCCGGTAGCTCCGTGTCTCTTTCTCCATCTCTGGAATTTCTGGCTTAGTGCTGGCGTTGGCTCGGAAAAGTGCGCGGAGATTCCCTGCTCTTTCCAAGACGTTTCAAGACTCACCGTCTCTCCCCTTTCGCCTCTTCTCCATATCATATCATGTCATGTCTTGTCTGAGGTGTACGACACGGAGAACCTGAATCAGAAAGAGAAGAGTTTTCGAATTGACTCAAAAGTCACCGCGTCCGTATCATATCATGTCTTGTCTTGCCTTGTCTTGTCTTGCCTTGTCTTGTCTTGCCTTGTCCCAGGTGTACGACACGGAGAACCTGAATCAGAACGAGAAGAGTTTTCGAATTGACTCAAAAGTCACCGCGTCCGTATCATATCATGTCTTGTCTTGCCTTGTCTTGTCTTGCCTTGTCCCAGGTGTACGACACGGAGAACCTGAACCAGAAGGAGAAGTTCGAGGCGGACTTGAAGAAAGAGATCAAGAAGCTGCAGCGGTACCGTGACCAGATCAAGACATGGATCCAGTCCAGCGAAATCAAGGACAAAAAGGTGAGTCCTACCTAGCCTTCCTTTTGAGTCGCCTCAAAAGTTGACCAGGTTAAGCTATGGATCCAGTGAAGCGAAACCAATGACCAAAAGGTGATTTCTAGTGCTCCACCGCTTCTCTGTTGATGTGCTCGTGTCTTCTGCTCTGCTTTCCCGCATGCGTTCATGGATGGTGCCTGCATTCTCATCTGTCATCATGCATCCTCTATTACTGCCTCAACGTGTCTTCATCGAATGAAGCTCGGATAAGGAGTTCGTTGCGCTGTTGATAGTTAGAATGCTTCAGTTTTCTTTTACTTGTTGTGTTCCCCTTTCCCCCTTCCGCCTTTCCCGGCTTCCCCTGGCTGGCAGGCGTTGCTGGATGCGAGGAAGCTGATAGAGCGGGAGATGGAGCGGTTCAAAGTGTGCGAGAAAGAAATCAGTGCTCGGTATCCTTCCCCCCGCTTCCTCCCCTTGCCCCATCTCCTTCCTCCACCCCGACCTTCCCTGGCTGGCAGGCGTTGCTGGATGCGCGGAAGCTGATAGAGCGGGAGATGGAGCGGTTCAAAGTGTGCGAGAAAGAGACCAAAACGAAGGCCTTCAGTAAAGAGGGGCTTGGTCAACAGCCAAAGACGGTACACTGAAACACCTCTTTCTCTGCTTGCTGTGCTGCGCAGTTCTGCACCCCTGTTCTTTTTCTGGTGGGCGATCTGTTAACTTCTGTTTGTGCTCTGATTGTGTCTCGTGACTTCTCATGCAGGACCCGAGGGAAAAGGCCAAGTCGGAGTCTCGTGACTGGTTGAATCAGATGGTGAGCCTGACCTGCTTGCTTTCGTCCTCTGCCGTGCGTTCCTCTTCTATACGACTGTTATACTCAGCTGCCCCGTTCGACCATTATGTCATTCCTTCCTGCACACTTATTCCGGACTGTTCTGTTTCAACATCATCAAACAGAGTGGTGTCCCTTCTTCTTCTGTCACACCACCTTTTCTACGTCTTCTCACACCCTTCCTCATCTCAAGTCGCCTGTGTCACCCTTCACCCCCCTTCCCTCCCTTCGTTCCACTCCCACCCTCCCTGTGCCCCTTGATCCGCCGGCAGGTGAGCGAGTTGGAGTCGCAGATTGACGGGTTTGAGAGCGAGATGGAGGGGCTGCAAGTCAAGCGGGGCAAGCAACGCCCGCCACGCCTGGTAAGCAATGACCTCTGGGACTGGTAGGTACCGCTCCTATTTCTGTTCACCTTTGAGTACTCAACATACCGTTGCCTGATTGCACTTACCCAGCGCTCCTCTCCCTCGCCCTCTCCCCCCTTTCGATCCGCTCCCCCCTCCTCCTGCCTGCTTTCTGCGCGGCACAAGGCGCACATCACTCACAAGGCTCCCTCTGAGTGCGCTAATCCAACCCAACACTTCCACTCCTCCCACCCACCCACCCACCCCTACTCATCCCTACCCACCCCTTCCCACCACGGCAGATGCATCTGGAGGAATCAATCACGCGGCACAAGGCGCACATCACGCGCCTGGAGATGATTCTACGGCTTATGGACAACGATGAGCTGAGCCCCGAACAGGTCACGGACGTCAAAGACCTCGTAGAGGACTACGTTGAGAGGAACCAGGTGATTATGGGGTACTGGGAAAGGGGAGATAGGGTGGGAGATTGAGGGAGGGAGGGGGGGATTGGTGTCGGTGGTGTGGTGGTGATTCTACGGCTTATGGACAACGATGAGCTGAGCCCCGAACAGGTCACGGACGTCTAAGACCTCGTAGAGGACTACGTTGAGAGGAACCAGGTGATTATGGGGTACTGGGAAAGGGGAGATAGGGTGGGAGATTGAGGGAGGGAGGGGGGGATTGGTGTCGGTGGTGTGGTGGTGATTCTACGGCTTATGGACAACGATGAGCTGAGCCCCGAACAGGTCACGGACGTGAGAGACCTCGTGGAAGGCTACGTTGAGAGGAACCAGGTGCGTATGGGGGGAGGGGGGAAAGAAGGTAGATGGAGGAGGGAAGGAATTGGTCTCAGAGGTTGAGGGACAATGGCTGTCCTGAGCAGGTCACAGATGTGAGAGACCTCGTGGAAGACATGAGCTCTGTGAGGAGTTTGAGAGGAACCAGGTGAGGCGCTGGTGAGGATGCGGGTGGGGAAACATGTGATGTGAGGAAGGGTGTGGGGGTCTAGGAGGAATGGGCTCGTTTTGAATCATTTCTATCGTGCCCTATACCTGATTCCCTCCCTCTTTTTTTGGCACTTCGAATAAAATCTCCTTCTCATCCACCTTCCACCCCCCCGTCCCAACCTCCCCAACCCTCCTTCCCTTCACCCTCCCCCTTCTCCGCACGTGCCTAGCAGGACGACTTTGAGGAGTTCTGTGAGCCGGACGATCTGTACGAGTCCCACGAGTCTGTACCCGTCGTGTTGCTCTTCCCCCGTCTTCCCCCCACAACCCACGCTCCCCCCTCCCCCTCATGGCCGGCAGGACGACTTTGAGGAGTTCTGTGAGCCGGACGATCTGTACGAGTCTTTACCTCAGGAGAAGATGGACGCACCCGAGTCGCTGGAGTCGGTGCCCATCGTGTCTTTGCCCCCCCAACCCCCACCATTCCCCCTCCGCGCAGGACGACTTTGAGGAGTTCTGTGAGCCGGACGATCTGTACGAGTCGCTGCCTCTGGAGAAGATGGACGCCCTCGAGTCGCTGGAGTCCGTGCCCATCGTGCCTTTGCCCCCCCAACCCCCACCATTCTCCCTCCGCGCAGGACGACTTTGAGGAGTTCTGTGAGCCGGACGATCTGTACGAGTCGCTGCCGCTGGAGAAGATGGATGCACTCGAGTCGCTGGAGTCCGTGCCCATCGTGCCGCAGGCCATTGTGGTCAAGGAGAAGGCTGCTGTCGCTGCTGCCTCGGGCCTCGCCCTGCCCAAGTCTATTCTCACCGCCTCCTCCCTGCCGGTACGTGCATGATGCATCTTATTGCACCGGTCTGCACCTTACTACATCTCATTACACTTTTTCCTGAAGCTTTTCTCCCTGTCTCTCAAAGCTGCCTCCCCTCTCCCCTCTCCCTCCCACCGCCCCATCCACCGTCCCGTTCCTTTCTCCCTTTCTCCACCTTCCCTGCCTGCATGTATCTCTCCCTAACAATCCAAAGAGATTGGGCCAGCAATAGCACTCGCACATCCCTTATCCCCATCCATTTCTTCCTATCTGACTCTGCCGCCACAGATGATTCTTCCACTCCTAACTCCCAAACCTCTTTCCCGTCAATCTTCTGCTCAATTCCCATCCTGTACTCCCCTGCCCGCCCCTGCACTGCCCCTGCGCCTGCCCCTGCCTCTTTCCCCTCCTCCTCTTCTCCATTCCCCTCCCCTGCGTGCTTCACAGAAATCGGGACCATCAGGAACACTCGCGCACCCCTCACCCCCATCCGTCTCATCTGACACATCTGACTCGGTCGCTACAGATGACTCCTCTTCCACTCATAGCTCCTCCCGCGCTGCTGCTGCTGCAGCCGCCGCCGCTGCTACAGCCGCCCCCCTCCCCGCCACCATCACCACCTCCTCTGCTGCCTCCTCCCGTGCTACAGCTGGCCGTGCTGCTGCTGCTGCTGCTACAGCCAGAGCCGTGACACCTGCTGCAGCAGCAGCAGCAGTGGTAACACCTGTAGCGGGAGCAGGAGTGGTAGCAACAGCGCCTGCTGCTGCAAGCACGGCTACGGTTACCAGCGGTGGGCGAGTAGGGGCGAAGGAAGGAGGTGTGGGGGGAGAGGAAGGGGCAGGAGGGTCAGGGCATGGTATGGCAAGTGTGGGGGGTAAAAGAGTGGGTCCGGGAATAGGGGAAGTCGCAGGAGGGGTGGCAGGGCGGCATAGCAGGTCTGGAGATCTTGGCTCTTCCAATGGGACCGCAGGAGCCATGGCTTCAGGCTCGGCAGGAGGTCCGGCAGCCAGTGCAGCTTCGGCTTCAGCAGCTGCAAAGTCAGGGAAGAAAGGGGCGAGTTTGGCGTCCATTGTTGGTGGTTCTGGCACTCCCGGCGTTGGTACTGCTGGTGCTGCCGCCTCTGCTGTTGCTGCTGGTGCTGCTGCTGCTGGAGCTGTCATTGCAGGCCCAGGGCCTAGGTCCATTACTTCTCCTCCTCCGCCGTTTGCCGTTTCTGGGGCTGCCACACCTGCCGCTGCCGGACCTGCAGGTTCGGCCGTGCCTAGCTACTCCCACGCTGCAGCTGGCGGGGTGCAGCAGCAAGCAGGTGAAGCAGCCACAGCAGCAGCAGGGGCAGGGCTGTTGCCTGGAGTCGGGGTGGCTGCTGGTCAGTCTGTTTCAGGGAGTATCAACGGAGCTGTGGTTGGTGTTAATGGCACTAATGGACTGGCAACAAGACCTCCCTTGCTCTCTATGGGCTCTTCTCCCGTCCCTCCCTCTACCCTTGCTTCTGGTCCCATGCAATCCAGTGCAGTGATGTCCACTGGCCTAGCTCCGGGCGGCCTCGTTCGTCCGTTTGGAGCCGCAGCAGGTGGGGCACCAGGTGCCTCGTCAGGTGCTGCTGATGCCACAGCCGCAGCAACGGCTACACCAGGCTCGTCCATCCTTTCATCCGGCCTTCCCGGAGCAGCAGGCTCGGCGGCAGGCCTCGGAGTCGGTTCGGTGGGAGGCTTGGCGCCGCCAGGTTCGGCAGGCACAGGAATGATGATGCCAGGCGTAGGCGGCGTGGGAGGGGTGGGACAGGGAGGGGTGGGAGCAGGGCTGGGAGCAGCAGCAGCGAATGTGCTGAGCGCCCAGCAGAGGATGTTCAATGCGGTGGGGGCACAGTGGAGACCGGGCCTTCCCAGTTCAGCGGCTTTCCAGCAGCTGCAGGGAGGCGTGGCTGCTGCTGATGGCTCTGGCGGGCTGTCTGCTCTCCCTGCTGGGGTGCGCTTCCCTCCTGGGGTAAGTGCATTGGAAGCCCTGGTTGGAATGGTGTTTTAGGCGTCTGAAATGCTTTCCAGCAGCTGCAAGGAGGTGTGGCTGCTGCTGATGGTTCCGGGGGTCTGTCTTCTCTACCTGCTGGGGTCCGTTTCCCTCCTGGGGTAAGTCGATTGGAACCATTGCTTGGCTTCCTGGCATACACTTTGCGGGTCTGACGACTTGAATTCAAAGCCTTTCCTCTCGCCCTTGTGCCTCCTTGCCCTTCCTTCCTTCCCCATTCCCCACTGGCGCCAGTTTCATTTGCTTCCTAGCTCCGCACCTTCCCAGCAGCCCTCGTCTTTGCTCCTCTTCTCTACGTCTCTTCTTCTTTGCTCTTTTTCTTGTTTACCCTCCCATTGGCGGCTTGCACCAGTTCTAGCTGCTTCCCACCCCGGCACCTTCCCACTAATCCTCCTCGTTTCCCTCCCCATTTCCCATCCCGCAGTTCCAGCGCACGGAGACAGCTCCGGACCAGAAGCAGAGGTAAATCACCCGGTTTCAGCAGGTGCAGCAACAGGGGGTCACTGCTTCCCACCCCTGCACCTTCCCAGTAACCTTCCTCTCCCCCTTCTCCATTCCCTGTCCCCCATTCCCCCTTATTTCCAGTTTCAACGCACTGAAATTGCGCCGGACCAGAAGCAGAGGTACATCACCCGGTTTCAACAGGTGCAGCAGCAGGGGGTCACCGCTGCTGTCATGGCTGCCGCTGCTGCCGCCGCCGCTGCTGGCGCAGGCTCGGCAGCAGGTTCGGGAGCATCCCTTGCTGGTTCGACGTCGGCAGGGAACTTGGCATCTCCGTTGCTGGCCATGCAGCAACATTCTGTGGTATGATCTTGCCCTGATTTGGTGTTGTGCATCTTGTGTTGGTGTGCTGTGTGGTATGCTTTTGATGCATGCCTGGAAATGAGTCGGTTCTGCCCCCTGGCATGGTGCTGTGCTTTCTATGCTTCAAGAATTTTCTGGTTCTGCTCCCTCGCATGTTTGTTGCTTGCTGGCCATGATGTTGTGTGCATAGAGTTTCTTTTCTGACATAGGATGCTGTATGGTACGGTGTGCTGCGAAGCACCGCATTGCACCGCATCCCACCGGATTATTCATCCATGGCATTGCACAGCACCTCAGTATTCTCTGATGTGGAGGCCCCATGTGGCTGCAAGATGTGATGCTGTGTGACACGGGAATGGAACACTGCACCGTGACATGTGGCTTACTTCGGTGCAATGCGGTGCTTTTCGATTCAGAGCAGTGCAGTATGCGGTAGGGTGCAATGCCCGTGCCGTCGCTTTTAACCTTTCATCCCTGTGCCAATACATGCCTTTTCCGCCCTACCGTGCCCATACCCTCGCCACCGTCCAGCTTTCCCAGTCGCCTCTTCCCCCGCAGCAGCAGCAACAGCAACAACAAATGCAACAGCAGCAGCAGCAGCAGCAAGTACTAGCATCTCAATCATCAGCAGCAGGAGCTGCAGGGGTGGGGGCAGAAGGACAGGCAAGGCAGGGTGGAGGGCAGGACAAGAGTGAGGATCAGACGCAGGGGCAGGCACAACTGAGGCAGGTGGGCTTGGGGATGAATGGGCCTCAGTCACAGCAGCAACAGCAGCAGCAACTACAGCAGCAGCAACAACAGCAGCAGCAACAACAGCAGCAGCAACTACAGCAGCAGCAACTACAGCAGCAGCAACAACAGCAGCAGCAGCAGCAGCAGCAGCAGCAGCAACAAGAGGCAAAGATTGGAGAGGCACAGCAGCAGCAGCAGCAGCAGCAGCAGCAGCAACTGGAGCAGGAGAAGCAACAGCAGCAGCAACAGCAACAGCAGCAGCAGCAGCAGTTGCAGCAGCAGTTACAGCAACAGCAGGCAGCAGGCGTATCTGGGGAAGGCAGCATGGATCCCCAGCAACAGCAGCAGCTGCTTCTGCTACTCCAGCAACAGGAGCATCAGCGCTTGCAGCAACAACAACACCAACAGCAACAGCAGCAGCAGCGGCTTTTGCCTTCCCCTCCCCCTCTACTCGCTCAGCAACAGCAGCAGCAGCAGCAGCAGCAGCAAATGGGGCACATGGCAGGAGCAGGGGCAGTAGGCCCCTCTATGCTGCCCTCTGCCGCCCAATCCTCCTTCCCCCAACCATCCTCCTCTGCCCCACCAACCACCACCGCCTCTCTCCCTGCAAATGCCCTCTCGTCCGCCACAGCTGCTGCTACAGCCGCCGGAGCCGGTGCTTTTGCTGGTGCATCGCTCTCAGCACCAGGGGTCATCGGAAGAAAGCAGGGGGGTGCGGGGATGGGCGACGCAGGGCCGATCAGCGACCCCATGTCTCTAGCCGCTGCTGCTGGTTCTGGCAACGCAACTGGAGCAGGAGGAGCAGCAGCAGGAGCGGGATCAGTGGGAGCAGTGGGGGCAGTGGGAGCGGGAGGGGGGGGGCAAGGAGGAGGAGGAGGAGGAGGAGGAGGAGGAGGAGGAGGAGGAGGAGGAGCAGTAGCAGCAGGGGCACCGGTGGATCATGCACTGAATCTGGCTCTGCTGGATTCGTCCTTTGGAAACTTGCCACAGCCCAAGGACTCGGAACGACCCAGGGCCTACATTCCGGTGAGTTGGTGTGCTTGCCGTATTGCATGTCAAACGAAGGAAGGGGCCTCTTAGATTGCATTGCTGGAGCTGCTATTGGCTCGCTGTATGCTCCTACCCACCGTCCCCCTCCGTCCCCCCATGCCCTCCCCCTCTCCCTCTGCCACTCTCTCCCCTCCAGCAGAACCCTGCCGTCACACCTTCCAGCTACCCCCAGGCGCCAGCAGCAATGCTAGAGTTGCTATCGCCTCTTACATTCTCTCCCTGAAACTCCCCCCCACACGCTTCCTCTCCCCTTCAGAGGAACCCCACCATCACGCATGCCAGCTACCCCCAGGCGCCAGCAGCAGTGCTGGAGCTGCTATTGACTCGCTTGCTCCCTCCTTCTCACTCAACCCACCCTTCCCACCCCCCCCCACACCCTTCCTCTCCCTTTCAGCGGAACCCTGCCATCACGCCTGCCAGCTACCCGCAGGCGCCAGCAGCAGTGTTGGAGCACCCAGGGCTGTGGGAGCGGCTGGACATGGACGTGCTCTTCTTCGCCTTCTACCACCAGCAGGTATGCGAGTGCGCGAGTAACCGTGTGGTTACCAGTATTAGGCGCAAATGTCGAGAAGCACCCAGGGCTGTGGGAGCGGCTGGACATGGACGTGCTCTTCTTTGCCTTCTATCACCAGCAGGTATGCACAGGGAACAATACGCTGGTGATGTCACCAGTGATACATTTCATACATCAGGTGGTTGGGTTGGGCTGGTTTGGTTACAGTACGTGGTCTTATAACTGAATCGAGCACCCAGGGCTGTGGGAGCGGCTCGACATGCATGTGCTCTTCTTTGCCTTCTACCACCAGCAGGTATGCACGAAGTGCGTGTGCAATATACCCTGGCCTTCTCCATCCCCCTCCATCCCCCACTGCGTCCCTACCTGCCCGTCCACCCCCCTCCACGAGGGCGCGTACCAGCAATACCTGGCTGCTAGGGAGCTAAAGAAGCAGTCGTGGCGCTACTACAAGAAGCACAACACGTGGTTCCCTCCTTCCATGCCCTTCCGTTCCCCTCTCGACAACCCCGTTCCCCAATCCCTGTCCACCAGGGCACGTACCAGCAATACTTGGCCGCGCGGGAGCTGAAGAAGCAGTCATGGCGCTACCACAAGAAGTACAACACGTGGTTCCAGCGGCACGAGGAGCCCAAGCTCACCACTGACGACTATGAGCAGGGCACCTACGTGTACTTTGACTTCCACATCGTGCATGACGACTATCAGACCGGATGGTGAGAGCACCGGATGGGGTGATGCGAGTGTGGAGAGATTGAGAGAGAGCAAGAGAGCAGTGTGAGCAGGGCGCCTACTTGTACTTTGACTTCCACATCGTGCATGACGACTACCAGACCGGATGGTGAGAGAGAGAGAGAGAGAGGTTGGGCATTGTGAGAGCATGCAGTTGGTGGTAGAGGGGGTGGTTGAGGAAGTGAGCACTATGAGCAGGGCACCCATGTGTATTTTGACTTCCACATTGTGCATGATGACTATCAGACTGGATAGTGAGAGGATGGGAATGCGGTTACTGGGACTGGTGTTGGGGTGATTGAGTTCCTCCCCCAGCTCCCCTTCACCTGTCCTGGTCTATCCCCCCTGGTCCCGTTCAGTTTTGTCATATTGTCTAGCGTGAATTGCAATCCCTGTGGGACGTTTGCCAGGTGTCAACGGATCAAGACGGAGTTTACATTTGAGTACAGCTACTTGGAGGATGAGCTGCCTGCTGCTTAACAAGACAAAAGCTGTAGAAGAAACGTCCAGAGCACGGGCCTGTCAGGTGTCAGCGGGTCAATACGGAGTTCACATTTGAGTACAGCTACTTGAAATATGAGCTGCCTGCTGCTTAACAGGATGAAAAGCTGTAGAAAGTCAAAGCACATGCCTGCCTAGCTTCACAATGGCTTTGCTGACCTAGTTGGCTTCTGCCATTCTCTTTAGTTGGGAAGCATGCATGTTTTACTCTCTGCGTGTTGCTTCTGTTTTTTAAACAGCATTATTTATCCATGAACACTGACAGCATGAAGTTTTTTGAAAGTGTGTAACACTTTCTAAAAATGTATATTTCGAAAGCGACGCTGCTTGTAATGCAGCAATGGCAACGGCGAAGTGCTCTACGCTCTTCGCCAACTATATCGCAGGGGGTGGAGGCCATTTGGCCTCCACCCACGTCTTCGTTTGAAATTTCAAATGTCTTATTTCATTCTCGTCCGACGACTTGGCGCTTCCCGTTTTCCTCAGTTTCTCACTTCTCTCATAAAATAGTAGGCATCAACTGAATTGACATGGCACAACGTGTTTCAGAAACAGGCACCCGTCCGCACAATAGGCGCGCTTGTTGGGGCTAATAAAGGGACAACGCCACTGGCGCACGTGGCGACGAAATCGCCACAAGCGCGCGTGGCGACGAAATCGCCACAGGCGCGCGTGGCGACGAAACCGCCACAGGCGCGTATGGCGAAGCAATCGCCACAGGTGCTCGTGGCGACGAAATCGCCACAGGCGCGTGTGGCGACGAAAACGCCACAGGCGCGCGTGGCGACGAAAACGCCACAGGCGCGCGTGGCGAAATCGCCAGTGGCGCACGTGGCGTAAAAATCGCCAGCGGCGCAAGTGGCGCCAGTGGCGCTCATGGCGCCGAAATGGTCAAAATCGCCACTGGCGCACGTGGCTACGACATCGCCAGTGGCGTGCAATAACCAGGGGCTCGTCCAGCGGCAGTCGGCAACAGCAGTAAATCGGTGCGAGGCAACTACCATAGCTTTGGGTCGCCATGAGAGACCATCGGCGAAGAAAGACTGCGGCAAACAATTGGCACAACCCCATGCGCCCCCGTGCGGTGCTGGCCAGCGAGCTCCCCAGGGGGGAGGAGGACCGGTGGGTCCTGTGCGGTGCTGGCCAGCGAGCTCCCGAGGGGGGAGGAGGACCGGTGGGTCCTGTGCGGTGCTGGCCAGCGAGCTCCCCAGGGGGGAGGAGGACCGGTGGGTCCTGTGCGGTGCTGGCCAGCGAGCTCCCCAGGGGGGAGGAGGACCGGTGGGTCCTGTGCGGTGCTGGCCAGCGAGCTCCCCAGGGGGGAGGAGGGCCGGTGGGTCCCGTGCGGTGCTGGCCAGCGAGCTCCCCAGGGGGGAGGAGGACCGGTGGGTCCTATGTGGTGCTGGCCAGCGAGATCCCCAGTGGGGAGGAGGACCGGTGGGTCCTGTGCGGTGCTGGCCAGCGAGCTCCCCAGGGGGGAGGAGGACCGGTGGGTCCTGTGTGGTGCTGGCCAGCGAGCTCCCCAGGGGGGAGGAGGATCGGTGGGTCCTGTGCGTTGCTGGCCAGCGAGCTCCCCAGGGGGGAGGAGGACTGGTGGGCCCTGTGCGGTGCTGGCCAGCGAGCTCCCCAGGGGGGAGGAGGACTGGTGGGCCCTGTGCGGTGCTGGCCAGCGAGCTCCCCAGGGGGGAGGAGGACCGGTGGGTCCCTTTTTGGCTTGTGGGCCATTTGTAGGGTAGATTCATGGTTGTGCAATTTAGTTACACTTCTCACACACCTTAGGCTTTGAAAGCCTTCAATTGCACGGTCCGGATGTGGTCACACTTGAGTTGGTTGATTGAACAATGTTGTGGTGAGTTTGAAATGGTGCTCAAGTCTAGCAGATCCAAAAAAAAAAAAGAAAAAAAAACACACACACATACAAAGGGCTCAAAGGCCGGCAGATTTACCGTATCCGGATACAGATGCATGCACTCTTCGTAATGTGAGCACGGTTGTGACTGCTACAAGGGTTGGGCTCCTACAAGCATCACATCCATCATCACACAAAACACCAATGCCCGTTACCCGAGTCCTCCTATACTGCTTGCGAGTTTGTGTCCGAAGCTCACATGTCAGCCGACTCTCATAAATCAACATTACTGTGCTACACTCGGGGCAACACTTCATCCAAGGCAACAGCAGGGAATACAGCATCACCATCAACATCGGTGCCAGCCTCTCCTTCGTGCGTGATTGGACCTCCACCGACATGTCATCGCATAAGCCACAAACAACCTTTACCATCTCGTTAGAATGACCCCGTCTCATGTCTCAGAAGACCCATTTGAAACGAAGCTCGTTGCCATTGCAAACACAAGAAAGCAAGCTTTCTAAATATGAAGTTTTTTGAAAGTGTGTAACACTTTCTAAAAATGTATATTTCGAAAGCGACGCTGCTTGTAATGCAGCAATGGCAACGGCGAAGTGCTCTACGCTCTTCGCCAACTATATCGCAGGGGGTGGAGGCCATTTGGCCTCCACCCACGTCTTCGTTTGAAATTTCAAATGTCTTATTTCCCACCCACCCACCCTAGCAAAAATTGCATGTTGGAACTTGTAATGTAGGTACCATATCTAAGTAGGACGAGAATGTTGTAATGCCCATTTGAAACGAAGCTCGTTGCCATTGCCATTTGAAACGAAGCTCGTTGCCATTGCAAACACAAGAAAGCAAGCTTTCTAAATTTGTGTGTTTTGTGGGATTTTTTTGGCTTGGTTGACTTTCAACCATTGACAAGGATGATGTGTCTTGAATTGAGATCTAATTGAAGTGTCCGATCTTTCAGTTTTTGTTTTGGGCCTTTGGTTGAACCCAGGAGTCACATGACAAACATACACTCTCCCAGGAGTGCCTGGTTGTCTTCCACTATTTCCAATTTACTTGGAAACTCTGTTCGTGAGTCTGCTTGCTTTTATTGTAATTCCGACAATGTTTCGACTGTTATTGTTCGTGGAAGGATCTTTTTGCGCGGGATGGTGTGTGGACTGGTATAGCTTTTCCGTCTTGCCTTCTATTGGGCAGTTGACTCCACGAAATACGGAGACAATGCGAGGGATGAAAATCATCTGCTTGTATGCAACCAGGTGCATGGAAGTTGGCCCATGTGCCGCAATCATTATTTCAACTCGATTGCGGTGCTTGGAAAGCTAAAGTGAAACATTTTCACTTTGAAGGTGGTTCTGATGCAGTATTCCTGCACGTTGTGTCCATTGACTATTGTGTTCTCCTTCCCCTTCTGGTGTTTTTTCTCCCTTCGTGTGTACATGGATGGATGCCTCAACATCGCCATTGCTTCTTTTCGTTTACGTACCCGTCACATGGAATCCTGGTGGATGCTGTTACGCTTTCGAGGGCCCCAGGGTCCTCGGAGGTTTCGCCGTGTTTTCTGCAGCGATGAATCTCAACCCCTATCAACCGCCGTCGATGTCAGTGCTCACGTGTAGAGTAGATTCTAACTGCAGTTTTCGCCATGAGGCGAGTGCCATGTTGGATGGACATGCACTGCGCAAAGCGGGGGAGCTTTGGGGAGGCTGGTTGGGGGGAGGGTTTGGGGTGTGCGGGGTTTGGAGGCCAGGCATGGCCGTAAACACGAGCGAATCACGATAAGGGTTCCAACTTTCTGGCGTTCGGAAGGCTGCGCCTCCCCACTATTTTGGAGTCTAAACGCCCGCACGGATGAAGCACTCGCCTCTCGGCACTCCGAATGGACAGCCGCAGCAACTCGTTTTGTTGCTTGCTCTGCCCAGGCGAAAGGACAACAATCAAGGTCAGTAGATTGTGACTCAATTCAGCCACCAGTGTCCTTTTTTTCGCCTTTCACTTTTCTTTGACTTTGTCTGGGCAGCAATGCCCCGCACGAATATCTACGAGGTTCGGGTACCGGGCGACAATTGCGCAGAAACACTGCCACCTGGTTCGGGGCGGAGCTCGCTCGCTGCGGAATGCTCCCGCAAACAGCCCACCAAGGTCCCAAGGATGGCGGAAGAACACTGTTTGCGCGGAGCAGATTTTCCCCAAAACCCCAACCAAGTCAGCCTCGTAAGCAGGGACGAGCAGAACGTTCCGCCCAGCCGAGAAAACATCTTCCAGCAGTGAGGGGGAGATTATCAGGAAGACAGAGGCAAGGGGGGGAGAGAAAGAGAGGAGAGGTAAAGCGAGCAGCGAGAGGAACCTAAAACAGGGGGAGAGAGGAATCCAAACAGTGTTTTGCTTCACATCACCAGACCAGACCTCTTCGTTTTCAGCAGCTCTGGTAACCTCGCTTGAACTTCGTCAGTGGAGCAGCCAAATTCCTGAAGTTGGTCGGTTTCTCCCAAGCAGTAGAGCAGAATTGGGTCTTGGAAGAGTGAAGGCAGTGGCAAGACGTGACATCATTCAGCCAATACAGTTCGCGAGACGCCTTTCTGCTGACGACTACTGTGCAGAATAACTGCTTGTCCTGTCCTAGTTCATTTTGCTCAGTTATCTTTATTGTTAGCGTCTGCTCGTATTCTGGAGAAGGGTTTTGGAGGATACTGCCTTACAACCGTCCTTTTTTGGGGTATTGTTGTTGGTAGTCAGTCCCGGAGTATTTAGTCTTACGGGGTCGATGATTAAGATTCAGTGAAGGCTGCTGCACCCTAGTCCAGTATCCCGCAAAAACGTTCCTGTCTCAGCAGCCTTTTAATTTTCGTCTGTTAATCCGTCAGGTATGGCCGATGCGATGCTCGCAAGAAGCATTTCAGCTCCGCATCTGACCCCAGTTCAAGCGGGATCTACCAATGGACGAGAAGCGGATAAACTTCGAGATGCAGCTAGCCCATCTTTCCATTGCTCCATGGTTTCCCCTCGCGGAGGCCTGGCCAGTCATCAAGCCTCCCGTTTAACCTGGAAGCGTAGCAACGCTTCTGCGCCTCTAACATCCTGTACCCCTTGGTTTTCTGAATTCTCGGCCACATCAGCAGCTCAGTCTTCTCGGAGCTTGTTTATCGTTTCTGAGATGGACTCGTCTCAGAAGGAAGACTGCGAGTTTCGCCGTATCGTATCAGTTCCTGAGCTCCGGACCCCGGATAACCACTCGCAGCAAAGTGCAACCCCAACAGACTCTGCGGACCGTCAGAAGGGCAGCAGCAGGAAAGGAAGAAGTTGGCCTTTCTCTTCGCAAGAAGCTTGCAACCCTAATTCATATCCGTCTGACCATCCACCCATGCCGTTCCCACTATCCGACCCTTCGTTCTTCAAGCATCCTTCCTCGCCTCCATCAACCCCTCTACTTACAACTCCACGCAAAGCTACATCCTCTTCATCACCTCCTTTCAAGACGCCGTCGCTGTTTCCCTTGGAGCCTTTAGCCGGTATGCCTTGCAACAGAAGAAATCAGAACGACTACGCCAGCCTGGAATTCTTCACCAACGGCGCTGACGAGATGCAGATGCGAGGACTTTTCGCAGGATCTCACCCAGAGATCTACCAGCATCTACCGGAAGAGCAAGGATCTCGACCGTTGCTTGATCTCGGCCTCTCCGATGTTGCTCGGAGCGAGCAGGTTGATTCGTCTGCTTCATTCAGCGTAGCCGGTGAAACTTTTCCTGTTGTTTGCCTAGGGACGCCGAATCTTGGGAGGGAGTCGAAAAACGGAGTTAGTTCTGCGTCAGGCACGTCTTCTGCAGACGTCGAGGCCATGGAAGCTCATTATGTCACCGCTCTGGCCAAGGATCCGAAAGATCCGCTCCTCCTTCGCAACTTCGCGCGATTTCTTTACGAGGTGAATATCTTGTTTCAATTTGTTATTTCGATTGTTCGTCGATTTTGTCAATTCTTTCTGTGTATGTTGTCTGTCTGTGTTTCTGACACTGAAATTTCATCGGGATCTTCTCTTTTCAGGTCAAGGGAGAACACGAAGAAGCTGAGAAACTCTTCGAGCGTGCTATAACCGAAGCTCCTTATGACGGGGAACTTCTGGTTCAGTACGCGAAGCTCCTATGGGAAGGCATGGGCGATGCAAATAAGGCCTCCATTTTCTTCGAGCGAGCAGTCAGCGCTGCACCCCAGGACTGGTAAGCACCCTCCGTATCGTTCGTTTGCAACATTGTACACTGGCTGATGGTACTGGGAGTTGTGATTCGCAATATCTTGGGAGTTTTACTTCCTTAATGCCCTTTTCTTGCACTCACTCTCCCCCCGTTGCTCATATCCCGCCTCGTTTCTGTCCTTGCAGTTATGTCCTGGCTGCGTATGCATCCTTTCTCTGGAATTTCGATTCCCTGCCTGAGGAGAACCCCAGCGTCATGGCTCCTGCTCCTCCGTTCCTCCCCGCCACATCTGCTGGTTGCGGATAATTGCTCCAAAGTTTGGCCGGTATATTGGATCCACCAATCATCTCAGCTTTGACATTGTCGGAGTTTTCAGTAGTGCCAATTTCAGCCTTCGCCGAGGCAGCTACCGGTAATATTGCAACGTCTTCCATGGCATACTGCATTGAAGCCTGCCAGCTGCCAGCTCCTGATCTTTCATGGCGTGAAATGCAACATTGCTGGAAGGACTATGTGTGATGCCAACCTGAAGAGCATCAGCCAGTTGCTGCATGGTTGACTTGAGGCTCAGGCTTTGGTGGGCATGCTGCCAACCATGCCTTGGCTTTATTATACACGGGCCCCCTCCACTTAGGGATTATAGTACAGTAACAGGTGCGTATCATGGCTGAATTGGTATTTCTTTTGCTACTGTTGCACCTGTCTGAGGCGTAGCTTGTGTGGGTGTGGGGCCCCTAGGGTATGTTGTCATGAATGGAAGGCATGAATTGTTTTATAAAGAAACACTATCTCATTGTGAAATTTTGAACAAATCTGGTATGTCGCCTCAATTGTAGGAAAGGAACAAATTCAGGAGTTAAGAGGACCTAATTTTGGCGTGACTAGCCTTTTTTATTTTAAGCAGCTGGTACCACTACACGGTACAGTAACCGCAGTTGTGTTATGCAAAGTGCGAAGCTGTTAGCACTAAAGCCATAAGTGTATGTAAATACTAGATAGGAACGAACTGGGTTCTGTTATGATTAAAATTAACAAAATGATGCAACCTCCCGCTTTAGTGTCTGAAGTTGGTTAGTGCAGTACGTATCCTGAACCTGGGGTAGGAACAACACCAGTAACTGCAGCAGCACCACTACCTGCCAGCCTCCCTCCCAATGACGACAGTCAACCACCTGTTCATTTGAGAGCAGTACAACCCCCAGACACTCGACCAAGCCACAGAGTACTAGCTACATACCACCACCCATCAGTGAAGCACGCATACTGCAGATAAAATCCCATGTTGCTTGTGCGATCTCTCAACCAATATCGCTCTCATGACGCTGTAGTGATTCCCTCCATAGCAGACACGCCAGCATTCACAGCAACAGCAGCCACACCCCCGGCAGCAACACCAGTAGCAGCTGCCACCACTGCACTGCTCTGTCCAGAAACCTCCATGGCACCGGCGTTCAGCACTCCTGTTGCTGCCCCAACCTTCTTGTCAGTCTCACTCTCTCCTCCCCCCCCTCCTGCACTAACACCGCTACCTGCTGCCGTCACCCCTATTCCTCCTGCTGCTACCCCACCACCTGCAGCACGTTCTGCCCCACGCTCCTCCACCTCTTCCATTTTCACACATGGGGATCTCACTCCCCCATCTCCTCCTGGTGCTGCTGCCGCTGCTGCTCTTGCTGCTAAGGTAGGGGAGGCAGAGGCACCTGCTCCTGCTGACACTGCTGCTGCTGCTGCTGCTGCTGCCCCTCCTCCTCCTCCTGCCACAACCGCTCCTGCTGGTGCTGGCACAGGCGACCCAGTTTGACCCCCACCAACTCCCCTAGAAGGTGAATCACCAGCTCCAGGCAATGTAGCCACTCCCATGCCTCCTGTTCCTGCACCAGTGGACCCACCAGCAGCACCAGGACTCATGGCAGGAGCAGCCTGACTGGTAAGAGTAGCTGCAGCAACTGGGGTGGGAGACTCAGCGGCAGCAGCGGCAGGAGAAACAGGTGCTGCCACAGCTGCAGGGGCAAGAGAAGGAGAGGAACCAGGAGCTGATGTTGCTGCTACTCCCCCTCCTGCTGCAGCTGTTGGTCCCGTCATCTGTATAGAGCCAACCTTCACATCCATGTCGCCTTCCCCACCATCTCCCCCTCCTCCTCCCCACTCTCCTCCTCCGCCACCGCCTCCTCCTCCTCCCCCTCCTCCTCCTCCGCCACCGCCTCCTCCTCCTCCCCCTCCTCCTCCCCCTCCTCCCTCCCCTCCTCCTCCCTCCCCTCCTCCTCCCCCCCCACCTCCTCCTCCTCCCTCCCCTGCACCACCCCCCTCACCACCTCTCTCCTCCCCCCCACCTTCCCCTTTCCCCTTGGACATCATATTGGCTAGCCCCAGAGGCATCAGGCACAGCCCCTTGCTCTGCAGGTACTGCATCGCTGCTCCCATGTCCTGCTCCATTAATAATGCCACCTGCAATACAGCAAGTACAATAGAGGGAGGATTCACAGGGGTGGACAGGCAAACAAGACCATATAAGAAGCAAGCCATGAGGCACAGAGACCCTTCCTCTGCAGGTACTGCATTGCTGTTCCTATGTCCTGCCCCATCAGCAATGCCATCTGCATGCAACAGCAACAGAAGGGACGCATAGGGTGGAAGGAAAGCTAGAGTCGAACAGGCAGAACCTTTAGCGCAAGTAGGGTGGCTCACCTGCACTCATGCCTCTCGACGTTAGCACTAGTGCCTGGTAAATGTCATGAGGTGAGAGCTGGGAAAAGGAGTTAGAATGACAAGGCAGGTAACACGCGTTTTGAGTCGACTCAAAACACGACTCATTACACACGTGAAACCTTAGGCCCGAGGGACGGCCATTCAATGCTGTGGTGGTATGTTGGCATCAGGTAATAAAAGAAGAGCTTTGAGACATCTCGAAACGGCAGGTGACACGTGAAACCTTAGGCACGACGGATGGCCATCCAATGCTGTGGTGGTATGTTGGCATCATGGAACCCACCCGTGTTGGTAACCTACTGCTGTCTCACACGCTCTAGGAAACACACCTTCCGTTCCATGAGAGTAAGCTCCTGCTGCTCTGGTAACCACATGCTCTGGTAACCACATGCTCTGGTAACCACATGCTCTGGTAACCACCTGCTTTGGTTGCCACCTGCTCTGGTTGCCACCTGCTCTGGTAACCACCTGCTCTGTAACCACCTGCTCTGTAACCACCTGCTCTGTAACCACCTGCTCTGTAACCACCTGCTCTGGTAACTACCTTGTTGGGTAACCCACCTGTCGTTCCATGAGAGTAAGCTCTTGCTGCGAAAACGACGAAAGACCATCGTCAATTTCCTGCACATTACAAGAAGGCGGAAAAATAGATCACAAGCTCATGAGGCAGAGTCAGAAGCGCACTAGAAAAAGAAAGGAAAGAAAGAACAAAAGAAAATCTCCCCCCCCCCCCCCCTCTCTCCCTTGCTCAAATTGAGCGCCATTTGTGCCTCCCACACCTCCCCACAACTCCCCAGACCTCTGCACATCTCTTCAAACCCCTGCATTTCACCCCACAAACCTCCCCCCAACTCTGCATACCTCTGGGTTCAGGTCAGCAAGCAGAGTGACCACGGCATCAGCTGCAGGGCCTGCCAGGCGGTTGAGATTAAGCACCTGAGGCATGGGATGGAGGCGGAGTGGAGGAGGAGGGCAAGAGGAGAGATGGAGGAGGGGAGGAGGAGAAGGGAGAGAGGAGCGAGGGAGGAGGGAGGGAGGAGGGAGGGAGGAGGGAGGGAGGAGGGAGGGAGGGAGGAGGGGTGATGAAAGGCGGGAAGAAAGAGAGAGGAGGGATACAAGACACACTTTGAGGAGCCTGAGAGCGAATGACTATGGCACTGGCTGTTGGGTTAACGAGGTGGTTTAGATCAATTACGCGAAGCAAGCATGGGGGCGAGGAGGGGCGAAGGAGGCGCGATAGAAGGACCCTTCTTGACCTGCATAAAAGCTTACCACATAAAAGCTTACCACATAAAAGCTTACCACATAAAAGCTTACCACATAAAAGCTTACCACATAAAAGCTTACCACATAAAAGCTTACCACATAAAAGCTTACTGCATAAAAGCTTACCGCATAAAAGCTTACCGCATAAAAGCTTACCGCATAAAAGCTTACCACATAAAAGCTTACCACATAAAAGCTTACCACATAAAAGCTTACCACATAAAAGCTTACCACATAAAAGCTTACCACATAAAAGCTTACCACATAAAAGCTTACCACCTCGACCTGGCACGAGGCAATCAACACCCACCTTCACCTACACCCACCTTGACCTGCAGTTGCAGGAACTTGACATAGTCGATAATGTCATCCAGCATTGACGCCTTGTCCACGCGATTCGAGTTGGGCACCAGGTCCTGTAGCGCGCGCATTCTCTCCGCTATGCGCTCTCGGCGCAGCTGCCCGATGGGGTGGGGTGGGGAGTTGGAGAACAAGGCGCGTGGATTAGGGGGAAACGATGGAGTTGGAGAACAAGGCGCGTGGATTAGGGGGAAACGATGGAGTTGGAGAACAAGGCGCGTGGATTAGGGGGAAACGATGGAGTTGGAGAACAAGGCGCGTGGATTAGGGGGAAACGATGGAGTTGGGGGCACCAGGTCCTGTATCCTCTCTGCTATGCGCTCTCGGCGCAGCTGCACAGGGAAAGGGGGGAGGTGACGGATGGGATGAGGGGGGATGAAGGGCGGAGGGGCGGGAACAAGTAGCGTGGATAAGGGGGAGGCACTCGAGTTGGCCACCAAGTCCTACAGGGCGCGCATCCTCTCTGCTATGCGCTCTCGGCGCAGCTGCACGGGGGAGGGAAGGGGGAGGGAAGGGGGAGGGAAGGGGGAGGGAAGGGGGAGGGAAGGGGGAGGGAAGGGGGAGGGAAGGGGGAGGGAAGGGGGAGGGAGGGGACGTTTGAGGAGAAGGGCGAGCGGATACTGGGGAACCATTCAAGTCAGGCACCAAGTCCTGCAGACCCTGCGTGCACCTTTGGTGCGGCTGCAAAGGGGGAAGGCAGACAGGGGGGGAAAAGAGGCAGGTGGGAGAAAACAAAGGGTGCAGACAGGTGCAGAGGGTGCAGGACGGAAACAAAAGTGGAAAATCCCTCTCTCAACCCCCCCTCCCCTCCCTCCTTCCATCCCTCCCTCTCTCCCTCCCTCCACCCCCCCCCTCACTCACTCTCTCCGCAATACTGTGGGGATCCGTCGCTTGCCCTCGTCTTGTATATAAAGTGATGTTTTGAGACGTCTCAAAAGTTCACTCTATACACGTCTCTTCCCTCCCTCACTCACTCTCTCTGCAATGCTGTGGGGATCCGTCGCTTGCCCTCGTCTCGCCCTCGCCCTCGGTTTCCCCCCTCCCCCCCCCTCCCCCTCCTCCGCCTCCGCCTCCCCCTCCGCCTGCACTCCCGCCCGCTCCCCCGCTCCCCTGCGCGCCTCCCCCCACTCCCCCTGCGCCAGCACTCGACTGGGACGGCATGAGAGAGGAGGCGGCGGCGCCGGCGGCCGGATTTGTCTGCATCTGAGTGTGCGGCTGGGGGATTGAGGTGGACGGCTGTGACATCCCTTGGTGGAAAGAGGAGGAGGATTGAAGCGGGGGTTGCTGCTGCTGCTGCTGCGGCTGGTGCGGCTGGTGCTGGGGATGAGGGGAAGGAGCATGGTGGGACATGGGGAGCGGTTGCTGCGGCTGCAGGGGACCTGCACGTTGTGGTGGCACGGAGTTGGGGTGCTGCTGGCCTTGCATGGGCGGCGGATTTGATACGAGCCCGTTGAATGCTGGGGCTGGCGGGGTGTCTTGCGCCTGGCAACGCGAAACGCGAGGGAACGGGGCGGGAAAGCGGGGGAGCGGGTCGGGAAAGCGGGGGAGGGGAAGGAAAGGGGGGAAACGGGGAGGGAAAAAGGGGGAACGGGGAGGGAAAGGGGGAGACGCGAAGAGAGGACGCGAAGGGGAAGAGAAACGATGGGTAAGTAACGGGTTGGATTCGACAAAAGGACGTTGAACGCTGGAACGAGAAGGGTGCTGTAGGGTTGACGTGAGCCTGAGACGGCGGAGCAGAAGGAGAGGCGGTAGTGGGGGAACGGAAGCAGGAGGAGCTAGTAGCGGGAAGATGAATAGGCGGCAACAATTCCATACGACGTTGCAATACTCGTTTTACGACCTCTCAACGCTCGTTATGAGACGTCTCTGTACTGGTCAAAACGTGGAGTGGTGTAACACTGTAGCTTACATGTGGTTGCTGGCGAAACTGAGGCACCTTTAGGCCCATTCCGGGCCCCACTCCCCCTCCCCCTCCCGCCGGCCCCACTCCCCCTTGCGGACCCAACATCTGCCCCCCCTGTCCGGGGGGCACTCCCCCCGGTCCCCCTGGCGCAGGGCCCCCCGGACCAGGGGGAGCCACTCCTTGCGCGCCTGGCGCCCCCGCGGGAGCGCCAGGTCCGCCAGGCCCCGTCGGGCCTCCGCCAAGTCCCCCCGCGGGAGCTCCGCCGGGGGGGGCTCCGCCGCCTGCGCCGGTAAGTCCGAATCCCGCCGCCACGCTCGTCAGCAGCGAGCCTTGCGCTGCGCGCTGCTGCAGCAGGCGCAGCAACGTGGCGTCATCTAATTGGCCCGCCAGCAGTGCCACCTGCGCCTGCACGTCCGCGGGCTGCTGTTGCTGCGCGGAAGCAGGCGCGCCGGGGGCTCCCCCTGCGCCAGGAGCTGCGCCGGGGGGAACGGGGGAGACACCCATGGGGCCGAGGAGGCCCGCCGTTGCGAGAATGCGCTGGCCGGGCGTTGCGCCCTGAGTGTGGGGGAGGGGCGAGGGAGATGGGGAGGGGGGGGGGGGAGGAAAGGAGGGTGAGAGGGGGGAGGAGGGGGGAAAGAGAAAGCTAAGTAAAGGGAAAGCGAGGTGAGCGGAGGGGTATGGCGGGATCGACATCAAGGGGGGTGGGTTCGTGCAGGCCCACCGGTGCGAGAATGGGCTGGCCGGGCGTTGCGGCCTGAGAGTGGCAAAGGAACGGGAATGGGGTAGAGGAAGGGGAGAGAGGCGAGAGAAAGGAAGGTGACGGAAGTGGGTGTGGTGAGCGGAGCGGAATGGCGGAATCCATATCGGGAGAATTCGAATCTTGTATGAATCCGCATCAGAACAAACCGACTTATGCACATCCGTTGATGGCACATACTGAGGCAATCCCTGGCGGCTAAAGGGCAAAGATGCCTTTCGCAAACGTTACAAACGTGGAAGTGGAAAGAGTTCCACGGATTGTTCAGTGTATAAAAAACAGCAGAATAACAAACGATGAAGACTTGCCTGATAAGAGCCAAAGTTTTCCGACATTCCTTGACCAGAGGAGGCATTCCCGCTGTTCCAGTTCTGTTGTTGCGGTTGCTGCTGCTGCGGCTGGAACTGTTGTTGTTGCTGCTGCTGTTGCATGTACGGTTGTTGCTGCTGCTGCGGTTGCTGTTGCTGGGGTTGCTGTTGATACGCCATCTGTTGTTGCTGCGGCTGCTGCTGCTGCTGCTGGTATTGCTGAGACTGTTGCTGCTGCTGAGGAGGCTGGTATTGCTGCTGACCTGAGTGTTGGTTGTAACCGTCCATTGTTACTTGACGATTAAGCCACTTTCGATTGACTTGGAAAGTAGTTTATAAGAACACGCAGTCAGAAAATAGTTCAGGACAATAGTACCCTTCTAACCGCTTTCCGTTCCCAAATCGGGAACGTTTTTAACCTAAACGCGAGAGCCAAGACCAAGCGTGCGAGCATACGCGAATGCTCGAGCATACAGACACGGGAAACCTCTTACTACTAATTGATTAGAGAGGATTCTGAGAATAAATGATCAAAACAGGGCTCTTGCAACTTGTTCATTCAACAGAATCCTAAATATAAGCGGTGGAAGAGAGTTTTGAGAGACTTCACGAGGTGTAGAGCCATCCCGCAGAAGGGACTCTAAGTACTTCTTAAAAAGCACTTATTATCCAATGAAGTCATTCCTACAACTGAACGCTGGCAGCTGGTTAGGGTTGATGCGGTGGCGATAAGGGAGCGCCAGAGGGAGGAGGTGGATGATGGATAGGTGAGGTCAGTAGATAATGGCGGGAGAGCTGGAGAGGTGAGGAATCTGAGAGGCACAATGACAGAGAGGTAATTTGGAGGGTACTGAAATTGGAGAAGAGAGGTGGGAAAAACGGACCAGACGGACTTGGGACAATCCCGATGGGGTTCATTGAAGTTTTGTCACGGTTGAACACGGTAAAGTTGGATCATCGCTTTTGAGCGCATCACATCGAACACAACCGTGCTACATCGAATTGGGAAAAGAACATACCGTAGCAGCCCAAACAGAAATGTCAGGAGAAACTCTGATGGGTTACTGTAATGTTATGCGTCGCGGGGTTCTGGTTCTGGGTCTAACGGTTGGCTCGGTGGTGCTGACGCTGAAATCAGCTCGTCACAGACGGTCACGACTTTACAACCTGCCCAAAAACAACATGGTACAACCACCTGGTTTGATTGTCGGAACGTGTAGCTAATTCACACGGTTGTGATTGGCTGGAAGATGTAAATGACACCGAAAGGATGACCGACATGCGTTGTTGTGGAGACGGCGACCGTCAGCTAGCGAATGAAGTGTCCTTGTCGTTTTCCATAGCCGGGTTCGCTAGCCCCACCCATGCAAATTTCGGAAAGCAGTACGCTTGTCCACCAGGCTGGGAAAGGAAAGGACTGCCTGCCATTCTCATTTCAAGGGAGAAGAAAAGGAGGCAGTTTCCGTTTCGTTTCTTCCCGCCATTTCCCAGCGCCTCGACCACCACAGACGCGTGTCAGACGCAACCACAAAACCCAACAGTTCAGTACAAAGCTTGAAAGCTACACCATAGATATATATACCCTACATAGTTATCCTGCTTTCAAAATTAGTAACCCTAGAAGTTAAACAGATGCGTCTATCAATCATGCATGCTACTTAACCATCAAAATATTGAACTATATATGATTTTTTCTCTTGACTTTTCACACTACTGAAACCTGGAAAGCATACCGTAAATATCAAAAGATAGAAGAAATTTTTTTTGTTGATTTAAAATACAGTGACTTACAGAACCATCCATGCGGCCTAGGTGGTTGAGAGCATGTTTCGTACTCAACGGAGTTTCCTGGGCCTCGATAACAGTTTCTACTACCTGACCCGACCTGACCAATATCGCAACCTACTTTTCGCCTGAGTCCCTATTGTTTCTCTCTCGAACCGCGGAAATTCGGTAGTTCATGATTGCTTGTTTGCCTCTTGCCACGACTGTGTGTTTCGCCATAATGTTAGCCGAGTTAAGTTAGTCAATGCGATCGTGTAATCGCGATCTCAACGATCCGCCGTGTCGCCACTCCCCATGGCGGGCCCTCGCTCCTCCCAACGATCGACCGTCTCCTCCCGCTCCACCACCCCCCACGCCGCATCTTCCGGCACAAACTCCGGCGCCAATTTCGGCGGATCCTCTGCTTCCGCGTCCCCATCCTTCCTCTCCCGCGCGTTTCCCGCGTTGGCAGCGTCGCTTCTCGCGCTAACGGCTGTCGTCTTTGCGTTCACCTACTCGAGGCCGTCGCTTGGGCGATGCGACGTACTCCAGCTGCAGCTCATGGGACGAAAGGTAAGGTTTGAGTCAGAATCTTAGGTCGACTCAACAGTCACCTCGTCGTCTTTGCGTTCACCTACTCGAGGCCGTCGCTTGGGCGATGCGACCTACTCCAGCTGCAGCTACTGGCACGAAAGGTAAGGTCTCGTACAACTTTTGAGGCCCCTCAAAAGTGCGACTTACTCCAGCTGCAGCTGCTGGGACGAAAGGTAAGGTCTCGTTCAAGATGAATAAAGGTCAAACTTACTCGATGACTTTTGCGAAAGGTCTCAGCTGTTGCATGTTCCAAGCCAGGTGACGACTGAGTTTGACGACTGAATCGACATGTGACTTAGCATTTGAGTCGACATTTGAATCAACCTAAAAAATGAGCTTTGGTACTCCTTCCTGCTGTATGATCTCAGCCAGGCAGGGAAAAGCACTGAAATTTGTCCCTCTACTTTGTGCATGTTTTTTTTTTTTCTTTGCTGTATTTGCTTTCTATTCTACGTTGCAGCAGGGAGACGATCTGGGGAAGCACCTGAAAGTGCTGGAGAAGCAGGTAGGTTGAACAAGTGCGTGGACTGGATGAGTGGCTGGGGTGGGGTGGGGTGGGGTGGGGTGGGTTGGGGTGGGATGGGCTGGGCTGGGGTAGGTGGGGTGAGTGGGTGGGTGAGAGGTATGGACCTGCGTGACGTGGGTGGGTGAGGTAATGCGCTGCTCGTGTGTCCTGCTCCTGCCGCTGCCTCCCTCCTTTCCCCTTTGCTCCTCATTCTGCCCCTCGTTCTGCCCCTCCTTATGCCCGCCTTTTTACCCCTCGCCCCGCGTTTTGCTTCTGCCCCCCCCTCTGCCTCTGCCACTGAATCTTCTTCCTCCTCCTTCCCCTCCTCCCCTCCCGCTGCCTCTGGCTCTCCTCTCCCCCCTCTTTTCATATCCCACTCTCATCCCTCACCCTCTCCCCTTCCCTCCCCCACTCGCTTCCCTCTCCCCCTCCTCTCCCCCTCCCCATCCCTCCAGATGAATTACAACAAGAAACTCGTGGGAGCACTACAGGCATCTCTCGCCAAGTTGACTGTGAGTGTGTGTGTGGAGTGAGTGAATCAGTGAGCTGATGTGAGAGCAGCTACAGGAACCAGTGAATACTTACCGGTGCCTCTCATCTCATTCGTGTGTGTCAACTCAACCATTTTCTCTCCTCTTCACCATTCCCATAATGCTATTTGTGCCCTTACCCCATTACCCCCCCTCCCGCCACCCCATTCCCGCCTCCCTCCTTTACTCTCCATTGCATCTATTGTATCTCCTATCCTTTTCCCCCATTTCGTCCCTCTCCCTTCGTGCTCCTCCTCCCCTCCACTTTTCCCTTTCCTCTCTTCTCCCTCTTTTTCTCCCCTTTTCAAGGTTCGATTTCCCTCGTTCTTTGTGGATTCTCTCTCCCGTGTGCAGGCTGCTGACTCAGCAGCGGCGGCAGAGGCCGACACGTCAACGCCTGCTGACGTGGCAATCCCTGGGAACGCCAGCACGCGCCAGCTGGTCGAGCTGGCAGCGCGACAGGTGGCGGATGAAGTCCGGGCATCAATGGAGGAAACGGTGAGTTTCTTTTCTCAACAGATACAGATCAGTACGTGAGGTTCACTGTTGGAGTGGAATGTGTACTGTTCACGCTTCATAGTGCCACCGCAAGTTTGCTCTCTTGAATGCCTAAACTTGATATCTTTACGACTGTGTGGCGGGTGAACTCCGGGCATCAATAGAGGAGACTGTGAGGTGCTCATTTCACGGATTTATATTTGAGGTTGACTGTTCCGGCTTCGAAGTGCCTTGCCTGCCTGCCTTGCCTGCCTGCCTGCCTGCCTGCCTGCCTGCCTGCCTGCCTGCCTGCCTGCCTGCCTGCCTGCCTGCCTGTCTGCCTGCCTGCCTGTTTGTCTGTTTGTCTTTCTGCCTGCCCCACATGCCGGGCTTCACCCCCCTCAACCCCACAGGACCTTGCACGTTTGCGGGACGTCATAGGAGCTACAGTGCGCAGAACAGGCAAATGGACCGCCGCCCTTGCCGCCCGCTCCTGCCCCCAATGCCCCGACTGCTCCCTCACTCCGCCGTCCACAATCGGCCCCGTCTGCACTGCGCCGGGATTCGTCAACTGCAGCTGCACGAGCGGGCACTCGGGCAGGCGAAAGTTTCCGAAGCGGACGGAGAAGCCGCTGTGCACAGACGGCGCGTCGCCGGGCAGGTGGAAAAGCTACAGCCAATGGGAGGCCGACAACTGTCAGTACAGAGAGATTTCGACAGACAGCCTTAGGGAATGCCTGAAGGGGAAATGGATACACTTTTTCGGAGATTCCCTGTCTCGGTTACTGGCAAATGAGTTTGCGAGGCAGTGTGGGATGCAGCGCAGGTCGTGGGATGGGGACAAGGCTAGAAGCACGTTGCTGGATACCAGGGCAGATCAGCAGGTGGCAGAGGGGGGGAAGGGGGGTGGTGGGGGGAGAAGGAGGAGATTGACAGGTGGTGTTGATACAGATGGGGGGAGAGGAGGAGGAGAAGGAGTGGATCAGTCATTGTATGGGGTGGAGGGAGGGGAGGTGGAGGGAGGGGAGGTGGAGGGAGTGGAGGTGGAGGGAGGGGAGGTGGAAGGGGGGGAAATGGAGGAGTGGGAGGTTCCTCAGGAGGAGCTGGAAAATGGAGGAGAGGAGGAGAGTGTGAGTGAGGGTGTCGGGGAGGACGAGAGGAGGGCGGGCGGCAGGCGGCGGCTGCTTATGTCGCGAGACGAGTGGCCGCGGGTGACTTATCTGTTCCGAGGCAAGATGGCTCATCAGAGGCACCCGGAGGTGGGTGCAGGATGAAGCAGTGCGTTTGATGTATGCATACCTCTCCCTCCTCTCAACCCCTCTCCACCCCTCTTCGCCCCTCTTCACCCCTTTCACTTGTCCTACAGGAGAACGCCACAGAGGAGCGGGATCTGAACAACAAGTTTCTCGAGTCGTTCAAGCAGCCAGGGGGGCAGCAGCCTGACTTCCTCATCATGAGCATTGGGGCACACGAGGTGAGGCATGGCATTGGGGCGCACGAGGTGAGGCATGGCATTGGGGCGCACGAGGTGAGGCATGGCATTGGGGCGCACGAGGTGAGGCATGGCATTGGGGCGCACGAGGTGAGGCATGGGGACATGTGGGTGGGTGGGATGAGTATGGCGCACGAGGTGAGGTGAGAATGTGGACGGGGAGAAGGGTGGGGCAGCAGCTAGGGGGATAGCATGCAGGGGGCAGCAGCCCCTACAGCGTGTTTTGAGACGTCTCAAAACACGGATAGCATGCAGGGGGCAGCAGCCCCTACGGCGGCCGAGAGGGATCTACTGCTGCATCTGCTACAGCTAATCGTTACCGTGTGTGGTAAGGCAGATGACTGGCCAATCACCTGGCCGATCACCTGGCCAATCCCCTTCCCCTGCACTCTCCTGCTCCCTGACTAACAGGTGATTGGTTGGAATTGACGCCCTCCACCTGACCTGGATATAGCCTCGTTCAAGAAAGACACGGAGGAGCTGCTACAGCTGCTACAGCTGCCGCAGCTGCTACAGCTGCTACAGCTATTGTTCAAACACCCCATTGCCCTCTCCCTTGCACTCAACTTTCTGACGGCAGGTCATCGGGTGGAACCGCCGCCCGCCTCCCGACCTGGATGTGGCGATGTTCAAGAAGGACACCGAGGAGCTGCTACAGCTGTTACAGCTCTTACAGCTCTTACAGCTAATCGTTACCACCTTCCTGCTCCCCTTCTCACGGCAGGTCATCGGGTGGAATCGCCGCCCGCCTCCAGATCTGGATGTGGCGACGTTCAAGAAAGACACAGAGGAGCTGCTGCAGCTGCTGAGAGGGAGCTACAACCGGGAGAAGGGCATGCTGCTGTGGTGGAAGGCACACTATATTTGGCCCGGTGAGTGATTGTTCAGTTGCGCTGACAGGCACTCTTGTTGCAAGTGTTGTCCAGATATGATTCTCTGTACGGTGTTTTGTTTCGCTGCATCACGTTGGTGTTGTTACTGAATGTCGCCCTTGTCATGACAGTCCCCTACTGACCTGACCTCTCATCTTCTACCCAATCCTCTTCTCCTCACGTCCCACCATAAACAGGCAAGGTTACTGGACAAGACTATTTCACAGTGCGACAATACCATGAAATATATCAAGATTATTCCTACAAAAGATTTCAAGAGGAAGGCTACACTACTGCAGATTTCTATCAAACCACAGAAGATCGGCCGGAGCTTATATGGAAGCCGGACGGGGTACACTACGGCTCTGAAGCTTTGGCTGTACACTCCAAGATTCTTGCTAATATATTGTGCAATAGAAAATAGATATTGCATTATCTTTACTTCGTTTTTGTGCCATCAATGTCTGTAAAGCTAAATGCAGTTTACAACACTAGGTTTTGCACTGATACCGTAGTACACTAAGCCAGGACCCACATACTGGTAGCATACAGGGCCCAAAATAGGTTTAGGCTCACTCTTTCAAATCAGGGTGGCAGGCCCTCCGTACCCTGACTGTTAGGGTAATTTTCGTGGTACACTGTTTACAGCAGTTTAAAAATTTGGGTACACTGATTTCAGCAGGGTATGTTTTCCGGTACACTGATGCATTAGCAAATACTTGGAAAGGTGAGAACAGTCGAACGAGGAACGTGAGAAAGGTGAGAGAATGGCGAGAGGCTGAGAGACCCGTTGGGAATCACAAAGCCCAAGAAGGCCCAAGCAGCACGGTTTCCGCGCACCGCGGGAAGTACATGGCAGAGGCTGCAACACCACAATCACTGCCATGTGGTGCAAACGACAGCACGAAACCCACCTGTCGCGCATTTTGGCACCGTTGGCAGTGAGCGATGCTTCGGGAACGCCCTACGTTGCTTGGATGTTGCTCAACGGACCAATCGTAGACGTGCGCGTGCAGTCGCGCTGCTTGTACGTTGGCGCGCTAGTGGGCATACCGTACAAATGCTCCAGTGGGTCCGTGGTGAATTTTGTCTTGGCGCGTACTGTGGCGGAATACTCAGATAGAAAAAGATCCGGTAAAAGTGTAGTTGAGCCCGTACCCTGATACAGCCAGTGTAACTAAACTTGTTACAAGAGTGCTTTTCTCAGTATCCTGATTTCACTAGTGTAAAAAATTGCATAGCCTGATTTCACAAGGGTAACTGCCAAAAAGCGGCCTACCATCAGGGCAAAAAGGGTATTTTACCCTTGAAATTTGGGGCCTGGTAGCATACAAGCAAAAGCTGTAACGCTTTTTAAAATTATGTATTTTGAAAGCGAAGCTGCCTGTAATGTAGGATTTGGCAGCGTCGAGCCGCGCTAAACGCCCGTTTTGGAGTACAAAACGTGGGCTGGAGGTCATTTCCCTCCACCCACGTCCCTCATTTCAGACGGTTTAGCCGATCTGAAGTCTCAATTTTCATTCTCAATTTTCGTCTCCCTTTCCAAGCTGGCGAAGTTGAAGTCTCTTCCCCGTTTTCAATCTCCGTCGACTTTACTCTCGGACATCTTCGCACACAACGCAGCAGCTATGGCACTTAACGGCGGCGAGGTTAATACCACTACCGCCCCCGCTCGACCCGAGTCCGGAAGGAACGCTCGCGAAATTGCGGGCGATCGCCCGAACAAGCGCCGGGCTGACGACGGGGAAATTTCCCCGACTGGCGTCGACGTCCTGCTCGGCTCGACTGAGGCACACGCCACGGGCGTCGAGGCACACGCCCCTGGTGTGCCTCGAGCCCCTGTGGCCCCTGACGCGCCGGCCACGACAGAAGGCGCCAAATCGGCGCCAACCAGCGCAGCCGGCACCCCGCGTCCGCGTCAGCGCCGCAGGCCCGTGGGCCCTGACGCGCCTGTGGGCCCTGACGCGCCTGTGGCGCCTGACGCGCAAGTGGCGACGGGTGCCCAAGTGGCGCCAACTTTTTCTGCAGCCCAACTGTAGCAGCTTCTGTCCCTGTTACAGCAGCACGCCCCTGCTGTTACTGAAGAAATAGCTACACCGAACGCGACTTCCGTTTCTGCTAAAAGCGAAAAGGCGAACACGGAGCCCGTCAAGCGCGCTCGCACGACGAAAACCGGAAGGGGCGAAGACACGCGCGCCGCCGCCACTCCAGTCATGAACAACCCTATCGACAGCGACAACGAAGGCGACGATGATGGTGAGGGACATGCCGTAAATGCCTCTTTCGCACCCACTGAGCAACTCCCCCCACTCCCCTCACCCAATCCCACTCTAACCGCCGCCTCGTTCAAGAACGCTGCCGTGCGCGAGCAAGCCGAGGTCCTGGAACACCTGCGGGCGTACCTGAAGCATGCGGAGCACAAAGTGCGACACAACGAGCTGGAAAGCGCCCTCGAATACCTTGGTGAAGCCTTCACACTCATCAACAACCGCTTCAAGCTACTCCATGTCGCCGACTACACCAACTTCCGCACCGCAAATCGCTTCAAGCTCTATGAAGACAAGAGTGTCTTCACCTCACGCCCGTTCAAGCAGGCCGTCGCGGACGTGGCGGCCATGGAGCGCGCCCAAGGCAATTTCACTCGCACTCCACGCGGCGGAGGGCGCGGGCCCATGGCATTTGGCAACAAGCGCGGTCCCCCACTTGACGGCAATGGCAGGAGCTTTCGTGAGGTATGCGCCCCCACTGAAATGAGACGATGCCAATTGCTACATGCAAGAAAGCAAGCTTTCTAAATTGCAGATTTCTATCAAACCACAGAAGATCGGCCGGAGCTTATATGGAAGCCGGACGGGGTACACTACGGCTCTGAAGCTTTGGCTGTACACTCCAAGATTCTTGCTAATATATTGTGCAATAGAAAATAGATATTGCATTATCTTTACTTCGTTTTTGTGCCATCAATGTCTGTAAAGCTAAATGCAGTTTACAACACTAGGTTTTGCGCTGATACCGTAGTACACTAAGCCAGGACCCGCATACTGGTAGCATACAGGGCCCAAAATAGGTTTAGGCTCACTCTTTCAAATCAGGGTGGCAGGCCCTCCGTACCCTGACTGTTAGGGTAATTTTCGTGGTACACTGTTTACAGCAGTTTAAAAATTTGGGTACACTGATTTCAGCAGGGTATGTTTTCCGGTACACTGATGCATTAGCAAATACTTGGAAAGGTGAGAACAGTCGAACGAGGAACGTGAGAAAGGTGAGAGAATGGCGAGAGGCTGAGAGACCCGTTGGGAATCACAAAGCCCAAGAAGGCCCAAGCAGCACGGTTTCCGCGCACCGCGGGAAGTACATGGCAGAGGCTGCAACACCACAATCACTGCCATGTGGTGCAAACGACAGCACGAAACCCACCTGTCGCGCATTTTGGCACCGTTGGCAGTGAGCGATGCTTCGGGAACGCCCTACGTTGCTTGGATGTTGCTCAACGGACCAATCGTAGACGTGCGCGTGCAGTCGCGCTGCTTGTACGTTGGCGCGCTAGTGGGCATACCGTACAAATGCTCCAGTGGGTCCGTGGTGAATTTTGTCTTGGCGCGTACTGTGGCGGAATACTCAGATAGAAAAAGATCCGATAAAAGTGTAGTTGAGCCCGTACCCTGATACAGCCAGTGTAACTAAACTTGTTACAAGAGTGCTTTTCTCAGTATCCTGATTTCACTAGGGTAAAAAATTGCATAGCCTGATTTCACAAGGGTAACTGCCAAAAAGCGGCCTACCATCAGGGCAAAAAGGGTATTTTACCCTTGAAATTTGGGGCCTGGTAGCATACAAGCAAAATCTGAACGAAAGCATGCAATGCATCACAGCAAAACATCCGGGCGTTTTTTAGACATCTCAAAACTGTGACGCAACCTTACGAGCAATCTATACACTGAATCGAACAGACACATCAGGAAGCCGCCACATTACACAGTTTGACTCGCCCTGCATTCTTCTCATTGGTTGAAGTTGTGTTGGCAAGGCACAACCAAGTCCCAGCCACTGACAGAAGTTCTGAGTCAACTAAACACTCATCTTCGCTGGTGCTGAAAGTTATGCAAGCGCCGGCCGACCAGGTACCTATCGTCCCGAATCGCATCGTGCAAAGAAGCAAGCCACTCACACACCCGCCGCCACACCCTCGCCGTCCCCACCACCCCCAACGCAGTAATCCACGCGAACCGGAACGCCGCTGATTCGAGCACGGGGGGGAGGCGGAGCAAGGGGAGTGCTGCGCGGACAGCTAGGAAGGGGGCTGTGAGGGCTGTGAGGAGGAAGAGGAGGACTGGAGCGATAATTTCCTGGAAGGTGCGGCGCGCGTTGAGGCGGCGGAGCCCGTCTTGTTGCAGGCGGAGGAAGCGGGCCCGCCACTCGTGGTTGGCTAGCAAGTGGTTCTGTGCGGTGACCTGCGGTGCAAGGGAAGAGGAGGGGAAATGGGAGTGGTGACAGGGAGTGAGTAAGGATGCAGGCGGAGGAAGAGGGCTCGCCACTCTTGGCTGGCTAGTAAGTGGTTCCGTGCGGTAACCTGCGATGCGAGCGAGGGGAGGGGTAGAGAGAGCAGTGGTCAACAGACACACAGACATGCACTTGAATGGGAGTATGAATGAATGCATGGATGGGAGCCTTAGTGCATGCATGGATGGGAGCATAAGTGCATGCATGGATGGGAGCATAAGGGCATGCATGGATGGGAGCATAAGGGCATGTATGGATGGGAGCGTAAGTGCATGCATGGATGGGAGCATAAGGGCATGCATGGATGGGAGCATAAGGGCATGCATGGATGGGAGCACAAGGGCATGCATGGATGGGAGCATAAGGGCATGCATGGATGGGAGCGTAAGTGCATGCATGGATGGGAGCATAAGGGCATGCACGGATGGGAGCATAAGGGCATGCATGGATGGGAGCATAAGGGCATGCATGGATGGGAGCATAAGGGCATGCATGGATGGGAGCATAAGGGCATGCATGGATGGGAGCATAAGGGCATGCATGGATGGGAGCGTAAGTGCATGCATGGATGGGAGCATAAGGGCATGCATGGATGGGAGCATAAGGGCATGCATGGATGGGAGCATAAGAGAATGCATGGATGGGAGCATAAGCGCATGCATGGATGGGAGCATAAGGGCATGCATGGATGGGAGCATAAGGGCATGCATGGATGGGAGCATAAGGGCATGCATGGATGGGAGCATAAGCGCATGCATGGATGGGAGCATAAGGGCATGCATGGATGGGAGCATAAGCGCATGCATGGATGGGAGCATAAGGGCATGCATGGATGGGAGCATAAGGGTATGCATGGATGGGAGCATAAGGGCATGCATGGATGGGAGCATAAGTGCATGCATGGATGGGAGCATAAGGGCATGCATGGATGGGAGCAAAAGGGCATGCATGGATGGGAGCATAAGGGCATGCATGGATGGGAGCATAAGGGCATGCATGGATGGGAGCATAAGGGCATGCATGGATGGGAGCATAAGGGCATGCATGGATGGGAGCATAAGCGCATGCATGGATGGGAGCATAAGGGCATGCATGGATGGGAGCATAAGGGCATGCATGGATGGGAGCATAAGGGCATGCATGGATGGGAGCGTAAGTGCATGCATGGATGGGAGCATAAGGGCATGCATGGATGGGAGCATAAGAGAATGCATGGATGGGAGCATAAGCGCATGCATGGATGGGAGCATAAGGGCATGCATGGATGGGAGCATAAGGGCATGCATGGATGGGAGCATAAGGGCATGCATGGATGGGAGCATAAGGGCATGCATGGATGGGAGCATAAGGGCATGCATGGATGGGAGCATAAGTGCATGCATGGATGGGAGCATAAGTGCATGCATGGATGGGGGGATGGATAGGCACACTCACCACTCTGGCCCAGAGCTTGAGCAGTATGAGGCCGAGAGCCCAGTCATGGTAGAGCGAGAGCAGCGGGGACTCGTTGATGGGCACTCGGATGGGCATGATGACAGCTAGGTCGACCAGCAGACCTGCTAGAATGGGTGCTACTACCAGCTGCGGAATAACGGGGGTTTGCAAAGGGTGGATAGGAGAAAATACAAAGGGGAAAACGAAGTGGAGGGAAAAGGGGCAGTGACTGCAATGGGGAAGTTATTGAGAAGGAAGCAAAAACGGAACAGGGGAAAGGGTAGATCCAAAGCAGAATTTTGCTTCAGTTGGCTTTGCTAGCGCGCACTCACCCACAGCAGCAGCAGCACCGCTGCTTTCAATGCCACAGCAGCCCAGTGCACGAGAGGCAGCAGCAGCGCCCGCATGTTGTTACGCGGTAACCGCAAGACAGCTGCTTGCATGGCTGCTATGGACCCCCAGATGAGGTAGGCTCCGATGCCGAAGGAATAGAGGTCTGGATGGGTTGACAGGGGTGTGAGAGAGTGAAGTGGGGTAAGGGGATGAGTGACTGGTGGTAAGTGCAGCACAGCAGCTTTGAGTTCCCAGATGAGGTATGCCAAAGGAATAGAGGTCTGTATGGGTGGAGAGGGGTGTGGGAGAGTGATGTGGGTTAGAGACGTGCGGTAATGGCAGCAAGACAGACAAAAAATCTGGTCAAGAGGCGTTTGACCAATGCAGGGAGAATCATCAGACGACTTTTGAGACGTCTCAAAAGCAGCACTGGGCAGCAAGGTGAAAGGCCCCTGTTTTGAGACGTCTCAAAACACGTTTCACCATTGCAGGGAGAATCATCAGCAGCTCTGGGTATCAAGGTGAAAGGCCCGTCGCCCCACCGCAGTGGGCAGCAGCAGCAGCACCGCCGTGTTGAACGCTGCTAGTGACGCGCACGGTGTGTGTAACAGTGTATTGACGGAACACACAACTTACCATTGCAAGGAGTGTCATCAGCAGCAGCACTGGGCAGCAGCGAGGCGGAGAGGCGGAACGCCCCTCGCCCCACAGCGGTGGGCAGCAGCACCACCGCCGTGTTGAATGCTGCTAGAGACGCCCACGCCGCCACCAGCAGCGCCACTATCCGCACCCGGAAATGCTCGTCCTCCTTCTTGCCCCCACTCCCCCCGCTGCCGCTGCCGCTGCCGCCCGCGCTCTCGCTGACCATCCCACTGCTGCTGCCAGCGCTACCATCTGTGATGCTTCTGCTGCTGCCACTACCACTGCCAGCCTCCCTAATGCTGCCACTCCCAGCATCACTGCTATTTCTGCTGCTGTTCCCTCTGTCTTTCTGTCCGCAATCGGCAATGGAAGCTGTAACATCCCTGTCCTTCCACTGTTCTCTCTCCCTCCCCTCTTCTCTTCCTGTCTCCTTCCTCCCCTCCTCCTCCACTGCCTTCCCCTTCCCTCTTAATCTCTCCACCTCCCCTCTCTCCAATACCTCCTCCTCCTCTTCCTCCTCTTCCTCCTCTTCCTCCTCCTCCTCCTCCTCCTCCTCCTCCTCCTCCTCCTCCTCCTCCTCCTCCTCCTCCTCCTCCTCCTCCTCCTCCTCCTCCTCCTCCTCCTCCTCCTCCTCCTCCTCCTCCTCCTCCTCCTCCTCCTCCTCTTCCTCCTTCCCTCCCTCTTCCTCCACCTCTCCAACCCTTCTATGCAAACCAGCCCCTCTTCTTTTCGCTGCTCCTCCTCCTACTCCCACCGCTCCCACTGCTCCCACTGCTCCTGCTCCTCCTTTCAGAAAAACACCATCAGTTGCTACTCCAGCCGCCTCAGCTGCACCGACTGCTGCAACTGCTCTAACAGCAACTGTGCCTGGTGACGGTGCTGCTGCTGCTCTTGCTAGCGCTGCCGATGCTGCCTTTTCCGCAGCCACTATTCTCTCAACAAACCGGCTGTCAACAGGAGCAGTGGCATGTAAAACCGACTTCTGAGGGTTTTGGAAGGCAAGAGGAGGGGGGGGAGGAGCAGTAGCAGCAGCGGCAGGGGGGGCGGCACTGGGAGGAGGAGGGGGAGGCGTCACAGGGTGGAAAGCAACAGGAGGGGAAGGAGGCCGAAAGGCAATCGGAGGAGGGGGAGGAGGAGCAGCAGCAACACCAGCAGCAGCAGCGGCAGGAGGAGGAGGAGGAGGGGGAGCAGCAGCAGCAGCACCAGCGGCACCACCAGCACCGGCACCAGCAGCACCGGCATCAGCAGCAGCAGCGGGGGCGGGAGGGGGCGGCAGCAGGAACTGCTGCAGCATGAGGAGGCGGGCAGCAGCGCGGAACCAGAGAGAGAGTGCGGCCTTGATGGTGGCCCGCGGGCGCAGGCGGTCGATTGCAAAGGGGATGCACACGTGAAACAGAAGCATATCCAGTGGAATTTCCATCAGAGGATCAGAGAACCTGGGGGATGGGATGGGAGAGAACAGGGACGTGTGGAAAGGCAGGGCGAGAAACACAGTCAGCACCAGCAGCATCACCAGCAGCAGCGGGGGCGGGAGGGGGTGGCAGCAGGAACTGCTGCAGCATGAGGAGGCGGGCAGCAGCGCGGAACCAGAGAGAGAGTGCGGCCTTGATGGTGGCCCGCGGGCGCAGACGGTCGATGGCAAAGGGGATGCACATGTGGAAGAGCAGCATGTCCAGTGGGATCTCCATTAACGGGTCGGAGAACCTGCAGGGTACGGTGGGGAATGGTGGGGAGTGGTGGGGAATACGTATGCGTGAAATGAGGAGGCTGAGAGGGGAGGTAGGTCGATAGCAATGGGGATGCACACGTAGAAGAGTAGCATGTCTAGAGGGATCTCCATCAGAGGGTCGGAGAACCTGGGGGTTCGTGGGGTTGGTGGTGGTGGGGAGTGGTGGGAGTGGTGGGGAGTGGTGGGGAGTGGTGGGAGTGGTGGAGATTACGCATGTGTATGAGGAGGCTGAGAGGGTAAGGAGGTCGATTGCAAAGGGGATGCACACGTGGAATAGTAGCATGTCCAGTGGGATCTCCATTAAGGGATCGGAGAACCTGGGCGGAATGGGGGAGGGGACAGGGGCACACTGGGAAGGGGGTGCACACGTGGCAGAGCAGCATGTCCAGTGGGATATCCATCAGTGGATCGGAGAACCTGGGAGGGAGTGGGGGAAACGGAGAGAGCAGGGGCGTGCGTGTGTGTGATATGGCACGATGAGCCTACGTGAAAGAAGAGTGCTTCTGAGAAGTCCCAAAAAAAGGGGCGTGTGTGTGGGATTGATTTTGAGAATTCTCAAAATCAATCTCAAACAAAAGGAGTGCTTCTGAGAAGTCTCAAAAAAAGGGGCGTGTGTGTGGTAGGGCACGATGAGATGAGCCTACGAGACTACAAGAGGGCATGAGGTAGAAAGGAAGAGGGATGGAGAGAGAGAGAAAGACAAACCGAGCACGGACCTGTAGTTGAATAGGAACATCCTGGGTGCGATTGCAATGGCTGCTCGCACGGGCAAGAACAGCAGCAGCACCACGAGTGCCCCGTAGGCAAAGAGAGAGGGCACGATGCGAGAGATGAGATAGAGACAAAGGGAGATGGAGAGCAGTCTAGAACCCACCTGTAGTTGAAGGGGAACATGGTGGGCGCGATGGCGATCGCTGCTCGCACAGGTAGGAACAGCAGCAGCACCACGAGCGCTCCGTAGGCGAAGGGGAGGAGCACGATGCAGTGCATGCGAGGAAGAGAGGAAGAGACGGAGAGAGGAGCTAGATACCCACCGGTAATTGAAGGGGAACATGGTGGGAGCGATGGCGATGGCGGCTCGCACGGGCAAAAACAGCAGCAGCACGACCAGCGCGCCGTAGGCGAACAGGGAGAGCACGATGCGGCGCGCGTGCTTGGGAATGGGGTCCTCCACGAGGTCCCGGAATGGATTGAAGTTTGGATCGGTGGGGTCGCGCAGGAAGGAGAGGACGCCTGGCCGCAGGATCTGCATGAGAACGAAAGACACACGAGGAGAGACAGGTGAGCATGATGGGGACCCGGCGGGCGTGCTTGGAGATAGGTTCCTCCAAACTATCATGTAGAGACAGGAGATAGGTTCCTCCACCGACCCAAACTATCTCCTGCTTTGGCGTGCTTTGGGCGTGCCCGGTGGAGGAACCTATCTCCTGCCTCTTCCTCTACCAAATCGCGAAACGGGTTCAAGTTTGGGTCGGTGGGGTCGCGAAGGAAGGGAAGGAGACGCCTGGCCGCAGGATCTGCGAGGGACAGGGGAAGGGAAGCGGAGAGGGGGTGTGAAAGGCAGAGCGCGTGCTTGGGAATGGGGTCCTCCACGAGGTCCCGGAATGGGTTCAAGTTTGGAACAGTGGGGTTGTGAAGGAAGGGAAGGAGACGCCTGGCCGCAGGATCTGCGAGGGGAAGAGGCGAAGGAGAGGGAGACGTAGAGAAGGAGAGATGGAAGGGGAGATGGAGAGGAGAGATGGGAGGGATGAAAGGGGGATGAAAGTGGAACGTGCACCTCTCTCACTCACACCACAACAGCAGCACAGGCTATCCTGTTCGTCAGCCTGCTTGCTCGTCAGCAGCTGGTAAGGTACGCACCTCTCGGAGGATGGTGACGAGCAAGCAGGCTGACTTGCAGCATATAGAGAATCGCCACGAACCAGTGCAGGAAGCAGCACAGCACAGCAGCGGGTGGTGGGTGCGCCAGCAGCAGCACAGCAGCGGGTGGTGGGTGCGCCAGCAGCAGCACAGCAGCGGGTGGTGGGTGCGCCAGCAGCAGCACAGCAGCGGGTGGTGGGTGCGCCAGCAGCACAGCCTGGGCACCCCTCTCACACCTGCAACGTACATGCCTCTCTGGACGGAAACATACATACCTCTCTCAAGATGGTGACGAGCAGGCTGACTTGCAGCATGTACAGGATCCCCACGAACCAGTGCAGGAAGCAGCACAGCAGCGGATGCGCCAGCAGCACGACAAGCTCACACCACAGCAGCAGTGCAGGCCTGTAACGGACATACCTCTCTCAAGATGGTGACGAGCAGGCTGACTTGCAGCATGTACAGGATCCCCACGAACCAGTGCAGGAAGCAGCACAGCAGCGGATGCGCCAGCAGCACGACAAGCTCACACCACAGCAGCAGTGCAGGCCTGTAACGGACATACCTCTCTCAAGATGGTGACGAGCAGGCTGACTTGCAGCATGTACAGGATCCCCACGAACCAGTGCAGGAAGCAGCACAGCAGCGGGTGCGCCAGCAGCAGTGCGAGGCGGTCAGAGGGAGAGGCACCGAAGAGGGAGAGCGAGCAGAAGTCAATCCACCAGCCACAGAGGAACGGGAAGGCGCCCAGCTCGACTGACAGGAGACTGGTGACCTTGAGGACCACAAGCCCATGCCTGATAGGTATAAGAATGGGTAGGGAGAGTTGGGAAGGAATACGGATGGGTGAAGGTTCCCCGAAGTGGGAGAGCGAGCAGAAGTCGATCCACCAGCCACAGAGGAACAGGAACGCTCCGAGCACAACCGAGAGGAGACTGGTGACTTTCAAGACAACCAAGGCGTGCCTGATGGAGATTGGGAGTGGAACGGAGGGATACAGATGGGTGGAGAGGCGCCGAAGCGAGAGGAGAGCGAGCACAAGTCGATCCACCAGCCACAGAGGAACGGGAAGGCTCCGAGCTCCACTGACAGGAGACTGGTGACTTTTAGAGCGACCAAACCGTGCCTGATATAGGGAGTGATAGGGAGGGGTACAGATGGGTGTGAGGGAAGGCACTGAACTGACGAGGGAGAGCGAGCAGAAGTCGATCCACCAGCCGCAGAGGAACGGGAAAGCACCCAGCTCGACCGAGAGAAGACTGGTGACTTTCAGGACCACTAGCCCATGCCTGCAAGGGAACAGGGAGGGATGGGAAGAGATGGGAAGGGATACAGATGGGTGAGGAGGTGACGACGAGAGAGCGAGCAGAAGTCGATCCACCAGCCGCAGAGGAACGGGAAGGCACCAAGTTCTACTGACAAGAGAACTAGCCTACTGGTCACCATAGGGACAACTAGCCCGTGCCTGTGTATGGAAGAATGGGAAGTAGGGAGGCATGCAAAGGGGTGCAACGAGAGAGGAGGCGAGAGAGGCGCAGGGAAGGTGAGTGAAAGTTGCACCTGACGCCCCACCAACGGCAGCAATGCGTACTCTAAACTAAAGTCCCCACAACACAGCACCCACCCACACAATACCCACCTGACAGCGGCTACGAGATGCTCCTGAATCGCCGGCGCCACCTGCAGCAGCGCGAGCAATGTCGCGGGTAAGGCCCCCACGAGCGGCAGCCCTCGGGCTCGTCTCAACTGAATGGCCACGAGCACGTGAACGGCACAGCAGAACGCCACGACCTCATACCCCACCAGCAGCGACACCAGGTTGCCTGCTGCGAGCCCGTGGCCCGCTTCCGCCCAGCGCAGGCCCAGCAGGGTGCAGCACCACTGCGAGTAGAGCGCTGCTGCTAGCACGAGCTGGTGGGAGAGGGAGGAGAGGTGGGCGGTTGTGATTTGGAGGAGGTGCGCCAGGAGGGCTGTCGTGGTGCTGGTGCTGGTGCTGCTGCTGGTGGCGGTGGTGGTGGTGGCCGTGGTGGTGGTGGCGGGGTTGGTGGTGGTGCTGCTGCTGTTGGTGCTGTTGCCGCTGGTAACGCTGTAATTGCTGTTGGGAGGAATGGAACTGCTGCTGCTGCTGCTCTCCCCGCTGTATACCGTACCATGCTTCCCCACAGCCCCACTCCCACGCGCACCCTCCACCTCTGCTGTTCCCGCACGCTCATCCTCTCTCCCTTCTCTTCTCACCTCTCCTCTCCACTCCCCTCTCCTCGCGCCTCTCCTCTTACTCTGCCTCTTCCCCCTCCTGCCCTGCAGCTGTAAGAATGACTTAAATGCACGCGGGAAGCGGGGACGAAGGTTTGATTTCCACGCACATTCATGCTCCCCCTCTCGAACACACCTGTATACCCCCTTATAGCCACCCTCCCCACTGAACACACCCCGAGACCAACCCCCGTTCTCATACCCACACACACGTAGCTCGTCCAAAATTGCAGGCCGAGAGGAAACAGGGCAGAAGCCCCAGTGCGCAAACGGTTCCGAGGAGTTGAGATAGGTTGGGTAGATTGGGGGGATGCAGGACGGAGTGGAGAGCGGTGGAGGGGTGGGGAGGGGGAGTGTAGGGGGGCCGAGGAGGAGGGAGTAGATGGGGACAAGAGAGATGGTGGAGGCGGGGGAGAGGAAGAGGAAGGAGAAGAGGGCTATGTATAATCGACCGAGGTTGAATGGGAGGAAGAATGCCAGTACGAGCACAAAGAAATTGCTGCAGAGCACCTGAGAGAGCGTGAAGGAGGAGAGGGGAGGGATGGAAAGAGAGGGTGGTGATGGGGTGAGAGATAGAGAGGGGCATGTTTGAACGGGAGGAAGACAATGAAATCACTTTTGAGATTTTTCAAGAGTTCGAGGGGGCATGTTTGGATGGGAGGAAGAATGCGAGTACGAGCACAAAGAAGTTGCTGCAGAGCACCTGAGAGGGCATAGAGGGGAGGGAGGGGATGTGTGGGGAGGGAGGGGGAGCAAAAGGGGGAGGGGAGAGGGGGGGGGGGGGGGGGGGGGTTTGAGAGTTCTCAAAAATCACTCTTGAGGTACATGGTTGGATTGGAGGAAGAGAGCACACGACCTGAGTAGGGGGAGGGGGAAAGAAAGGGGGGGGAACAAGTGGTGGCACTTAGCACTCGGGGCACTCACGGTGGTGGCATTTCCAAAGAGGCGCCAGAGGGGTCCCTGCAAGCCGATGAGCTCCTCAAACTCATCCTACCGGGGGCCACGCAACAACGTTGACAGGTGGCACAGGTGGCACAGGTGGCACGGGTGGCACGGGTGGAACAGGTGGCACAGGTGGCACGGGTGGCACAGGTGGCAGAGGTGGCACAGGTGGCACAAGCACTCAGCCCCCAACATTCACCACTTACCGTGGTGGCGTTTTCAAAGAGGCGCCATAACGGCCCCTGCAGGCCGATGAGCTCCTCAAACCCTAAATCGTCCATGGGCTCTCCATCCTCGTCCATGGGCTCTCCATCCTCGTCCATGGGCTCTCCATCCTCGTCCACCTCGCCCTCCCCCATGCCCCCCTCCGCCTCCTCAAAATCCTCCTCCTCTTCTTCCTCCTCTTCTTCCTCCTCTTCCTCCTCTTCTTCCTCCTCTTCCTCCTCCTCTTCCTCATACTCGTAATCATCATCATCATCATCCTGAAAACTCCCACTCTCTTCCTCTTCCTCACCCCCCTCCTCCCCACTCCCCTCCTCCTCACTCGCTGCACTGCTCCCATCTCTAAACTCCTCATCTTCGTGTCTCTCATTCCCCCACGCACTCCCCCTTTGCACAGATAACCCCCCACCATCTCCGCTTCCCCCGTTCCCCCACGTCTGGGCGGATGAATTCGCGCCATCTCCGCCCGTCTCATCCCCCCACAGCCTCTCTTGCCCCCTCCTTCCCTCCCCATGCTCCCCTTCCTCCCCCAACCCACCTGCTGCCATATCCTCTTCCCTCTCCACCCCTTTCCCCTTCCCACGGCCGTCACTGCCTCTCCCCTTTGCTTCCTCTGTACATACTCTTCCCTCTCTTCTTTCTATTCCTTCCGTCCCCTCTCCGAGTCTCAACCTCCCCACCTGTCCACCCTCTCTTCGAGCTGCTCCCCCCCCCTCTCCCCCACCCACTTCCCCGCCACTTCCCCCCACTTCTCCCCCGATCTCACTATCTCTCTCTTCCCCGCGGCCTCCGCCCTCCGTACCGCCTTCATTCCCCGCACTCTTTCCCCCAGCGCCAGCCACAGTAGCAGCGGAACCTGCTGCTGCAGCAAAGCCACCTTCCGCTGCTCCTTCCCCCTCTTCCCCTTCCCTCCCTATCCCTCCTCCCTCCGCTCCTCCCGCCTCTCCTTCCTCTGCTCCTACTCCTGCCGCTATCACTGCTCCTTGCCCCTCCGCGCCTTCCCCCCCTAACTCTTCTCTTTCCGGCTCCTCCCCCCGCTCGTCCCTCCCGCTATTCCTGCCCCGCGCGTCCACCTGTCCGGTTCCCATTTGCCCCGCCTCTCCAGCCGGTCGGAAGAAAAATCTCGCCGGGCGACGCGTCTCCTGGGCGGACGGATTCGCACCAAACACAAACGGCTGGCCGTCCGTCGCAGGGCCAGTCGCAGGGCCTGTCGCAGAGCCTCCTGCACGGTCGCTGAACGAAAAAGGTCGGTCAGAGGAGCCCGGAGGGAGAGGAGTTCCCAAGGGGGGAACAACACGGGGAGGCGGAGGGGGAATTGCTCGCGGAGGGGGGGGAGGTGGCGGGGCTATGCCCCCCCTTTCCTCTTCCCCGTTTTGTCTTATTCGAGCAGCGTCCCCTGGATTTTGTTGCAACGGGGGTGGAGGGGGGGGTGGGGGCTGGTGCTGGTGCCGGTGCTGCTGGTGGCGCTGGTGCTGGTGGTGCTGGTGATGGTGGTGGTGCTGGTGCTGATGCTCGTGGTGGTGGTGATGGTGGTGGTGATGATGATGATGGTGCCTTCGCTGCTGCTGCCCCCCCTGCTGCATCTGCCCCTGCGGCCCCTGCTGCCCCAGCAGCTGCCCCCGCTGCTGCGCCACAAGCGGGCCCCCCTCCGCCTCCGCCGCCTCCCCCTCCCCTTCCCCCGCGCCCCCCACCCCCACCTCAAACCCCTCCTCCCCTTCCATCTGCTGCTCTAGCAGCTGCGCTAGATACTCCCTCAGAGACGACAAACTCAGAAAAAACAAAATCACCGCCGCGGACAGCACGCTGCCCAGAACACAGTCCTGGAAAATCGCCCCCCCGGTGAGCCTCTCGCGGAACAGCGCGCCGATGCGCGTCCAATCGCGGAGGAAGCAGAGGTGCCAGATGGAGCTCGTGAGGAACGGCACGAGGAGAAGCCACACGAACGCGATGAGCGCGGCGCGCAGGACGAACGAGACGGCGCGCCCCGCCATCAGCGCCGCGCCCGCGAGAAACTCGTTTGGGGGGAGCCGGGACGGCGCGTTGGGCGCGTAGATGGGGGAGAAGATGAACGCGCGCTTGCATACCTGGGTGGTGTGGGGAAAGGGGAGGGCGCGGAAGGGAAAGGGCAGAGAGGGGGGAGGGAGGGGAAGGAGGGAGGTCAGGGAAGTTGGAGGGCGGGAACGGGGGAAGGCAGGGGAAGGCGGGGGAAAGGAACGGGGAGTGGAAGGAAAAGGATGGAGACGTAAGGAGCGGGAAGCAAACAGAAAAAAAAGCTTGTGGGAGGCAGTGGGAGGAAGAGCTCTTTACTCGCGTTTACGAGAAACAGATAGCTTGCCACATATACGGCAAGAAGGGAGCTTGCCGCGTGTACGCAAGAAGGGAGCTTGCCGCGTGTACGAAAGAAAAAATAAATCCACTGTACGCGCGAGCTTGCAGCGTGTATCGGAAACCCGGCGACGCAAAGGGACACAGACGCGATTGCTGGGAGAGTGGGACGTGTAGCAAACAAGGACGACTGATAGATTCGAAGAGGGGGGATAGATAGAGGGCGGTGTGATGCCGACGCGAGCTCGCAATAAGGAAAATCCAGAAACAATTACTGGTTCCAGAACCTATTAAGTTAGCACCAACCGATTGCATGCATATCTTCCGTCAATAGTGACACGCAAATTTTATTGTGGCGAGTTCGCTGTAAAGAGGAACGGGATCTTCAGTGAATCAAGAACCGTGCAGCCAAGAAGTAGGCGGCACGAAACTGAAGCACGCCAATGTTAAAAAAACCAGGATGTACCGCTTAAAACCACGTTAATGTCAATGTTACGAACTGCGAGCGAGCTGCGACGCTGCGATTTTGCGAGGCTGCGACTTTCGCGAGGCTACGAGCTGCGAACGCTAACGAACCTCGCAGTGCGTTTTGTTGCTGTGGTGCAGCCATTGCAGCAAGCAGCCCTGATGCACGAACTTGATGCTCCCGCTACAAGCACACGGGTGGTACAGCGGATCCCCGTCCGCTGCCGGCGCACGGCAAATCCTACACACGTCCTCCTCCTCCTCTTTCATGGCTGGATACCGTTAGAGATAATCCTTGATCGATGTCATACAGATCGTTAAAACTCAGAAACTATTTCTGTGAGAAATGCTACTTGAGCATTGCCCGTAAAGCGAGGACATGCAAAACAGGGATTCCTAAGTCTGCGAAAACAGGGTGAGGCTAGAACTAACACGGGAAAACGGAGACGGGTAAAAGCTGGTCGAAGAAAGACGGCAGACGGTTGGGCTCTGATGATTTTGAAAATACTAGGACGGCGAGGTGCAAAGAGAACCAAAGCTTCTAAACAGACGAACCCTAGATTCAGAACTGAGTTGAAGAGGAAGCACCTGCCTCATCTAGATTCAGAAAGCGTGAGAACACCAACCCAAGATTCGTAACTGAGCGGACGAGGATGAGGACGGAGAGGGGTGGGGAGCAGCCATAACCTAGCAATTTCTTGGCGATAGGTATGGTGTTTACGCTGGGCTATTGGGTAACATGGCGGTGAGCTCGCGTGAAAGTAGGGTACCCGATGTTCCGTATCTTTCTGAACCGCTCCAAAACACTAAGAAAGTATCTGAACACTGGTCAAACGTGCTGGTAACGAACTGCTGCGACACCCTCAGCAGAAGATGTTCAGCACCCCCTGTTACTCTACTGCAAATTTACGCTGACGGTTTTTTCCTCTCCATAAGCTTATCCGTGGGTTCTGACAACCAAGCCGGGGTGGCGGGAAAATAACGCTTGTAGTTGTGATCTTGGCAAAGGAGTGTTCTAGAAACGGGAGAAACACGAAGTGTGGAAACGTGGCGAAAGGTCACACAGAATCCTTATCCATTCGCGACAAAAGCAGCACTTTCCAGGTTCGCAAGCGTTTGCTGACCTGGATATCGTCGCGTCGTGCCACGTAGTACACAAGTGCAAAATGATCTCACACATCCGTAACCACAACCATCATCCGTCACACTTGTTGTCACGCATCCACGGTCACCAGAGTAGGGTGAACCAAACACAGCACATACCACGAGCCGTGGCGATCAGGTTTCCCAGGTTCTCGCGAGCTCTCGCCGTCAGCAAAACAACCCTTCTTTTCTTGACGATAACAATGCAGCCATAGTTCCCATAGCTGCCTGAAGCTACTAGCTTGTACTTTTTAGTGGATCAGCTACGGCTGGCCAACGGCGGAAGCTCGTTAGGGTGGCTGGTCAGGTCGGGGATTTTGCTGTAGCTGCTATCGCTGTTAGCTAACATGGTGGCGACGTTAATCTGTCCAGCCATGGCTGTGGTAACACCCAAGGCACAGCAGCCAATGACGCATCAACCAGCTACTCCGAGAATCGCCAGACTACCAATGTGCTTACCGCAGCCGATCGCGCTTAACGGCAAGATACCTATGCATCACCGTCATCAACATTCGTTTTTCGCCACGTCTCCAGATCGCACACCGTCAGTCTTCGCCTCACGAAGCCGCGTGCCCACTGGCAGACGACAGCCGTTGATCGCAAGAGCGCAATCCGACGGTTCCGATGCACCACCAACCCAGACGCCTCTGCCGGCAACCCCACCACCAGCAACTTTTAAGTCGTCACAAACCTCCCAACCGTCAACTTCACAGCCGGCCGGCACGCTGGAACTTGTCGGCGAGGACGCCGCCGTCTTCAGCATTGACGACCAGAAAACCTCCTCCTGGGCGGCGTTTTTTGGAGTATTAGGCGTCGTGATGGCGATTTTGTACGTCATCTGGATCGATCCAAACACCGGATTTGGCGGCGCGTACATCGGTCTGTTCGAATCGATCTCGGATAGTCGCGAGATTCAGATGCTGCTGATGCTGCTCGTGTTCGCCATCGTGCACAGCGGAGGCGCGGCGCTCCGGCCGGCGGCGGAGCGCGTGATAGGCGAGCGCGCTTATCGCGTGCTGTTCGCGGGGATCTCGCTGCCGCTCGCCGTCTCTGCCGTGGTACGTGTGGGTTCGTAAGGAGCGGGTTTGTCTGAGGTCACAACTGAGGGTCTTGGGAGTCTGCAGCGGTATGTTTGGGATGGCCATTGCGAATATTTTAATGTGATAAATGTGTTGTTTTGAGACGTTTCAACAAAACATTTATTTCGTAAGGAACGGGTTTGTCTGAGGTCACAACTGAGGGTCTTGGGAGTCTGCAGCGGTATGTTTGGGATCACAATTGCGAGTATTCTAAAGAATGTGCGTATGTCGAGTCCTGTCGTGCTCTCACTGCCCCTCGCCTGAGGTGATCACGCCGCCTCTGCAGTGCAGTGGTGCGTCTGAGGTCATTTTTGAGTCGGCTCGAAAATAAGCAGTGCAGTGCAGTGCAGTGCAGTGCAGTGCAGTGCAATGCAGTGCAATGCAGTGCAGTGGTGTGTCTGAGGTCACTATCGAGAGTTTGCTGAAAAATGTAACGTGTGAATCCACTAAAGAATGTGAGTTTTGAGCGACGTTTGGGTCAGCAGCTGCCCTCATTCACTCATTACCTCCCTTCCTCAATCGCCTCTCCCCCTCTTCCACCTCCCACCAACACCCCCCCCCCCCCCCCCCTCCTCCCCCCCTCCCCCACCCCCATCAGGTATTTTTCATCAACCATCGCTATGACGGCTTCCCTCTCTGGCAGCTGCGGGGAGTCCCAGGCATGCACGAGTTCGTGTGGGCGCTCGCCTTCGTCTCCTTCTTCTTCCTCTACCCCTCCACATTCAACCTGCTCGAGGTGGCAGCGGTTGATAAGCCCAAGCTGCACATGTGGGAGACAGGGATTATGCGAATCACCAGGCATCCCCAGGTGTGGTTTGGTGCGGTGTGATGCGGCAGAGTGCGGTGTGGTGCGTATGGTACCTTCCCTCCTTCCCCCTCCTTCTTCCTCCTCTACCCCTCCACATTCAACCTGCTCGAGGTGGCAGCGGTTGATAAGCCCAAGCTGCACATGTGGGAGACGGGGATTATGCGCATCACCAGGCATCCCCAGGTGTGGTTTGGTGCGGTGTGATGCGGCAGAGTGCGGTGTGGTGCGTATGGTACCTTCCCTCCTTCCCCCTCCTTCTTCCTCCTCTACCCCTCCACATTCAACCTGCTCGAGGTGGCAGCGGTTGATAAGCCCAAGCTGCACATGTGGGAGACGGGGATTATGCGCATCACCAGGCATCCCCAGGTGTGGTTAAGTGCGGTGCGTGTGCCGTGGTATGGTTTGGTGAGATGTGGTGTGCGGTGAAATTCCCAAGGTGCACAGATGGGAAATTGGTGTCTTGAGGATCTCCTACCATCCCCAGGTGCGGTGCATTTTGGTGCGGTCAAGTCTGGTGCGGCCTAGTCTGGTGCGGTCTAGTCTGGTGCGGTCTAGTTTGATCAGGTGAAATATCTGCTCTCCCTTCCCTTCCCTTCCACTCTCACTTCTCATCCCCCCTCTCTCCCTCGCTTCCCATCCCCCCTCTCTCTATCAGCTCCCATCGCCCATCTCTCTCCTCCCACCCCTCCCCTGCCAAACCCACCCTCCTACTCCCTCAATCTCCTCCTCCAAATTCTTTTCTCGATCCTCATGCCCTCAATCCCATCCCCCCTTACTCTCAATCCCATCCCCCCTTACTCAATCCCATCCCCCCTTACTCTCAATCCCATCCCCCCTTACTCTCAATCCCATCCCCCCTTACTCTCAATCCCATCCCCCCTTACTCTCAATCCCATCCCCCCTTTTCTCTCATGCTCTTTTCACTGCTGGTCAGCTGGTCTGGTGTGTGGCAGACATGCTCTGGTGTGTGGCAGACATGCTCTGGTGTGTGGCAGACATGCTCTGGTGTGTGGCAGACATGCTCTGGTGTGTGGCAGACATGCTCTGGTGTGTGGCAGACATGCTCTGGTGTGTGGCAGACATGCTCTGGTGTGTGGCAGACATGCTCTGGTGTGTGGCAGACATGCTCTGGTGTGTGGCAGACATGCTCTGGTGTGTGGCAGACATGCTCTGGTGTGTGGCAGACATGCTCTGGTGTGTGGCAGACATGCTCTGGTGTGTGGCAGACATGCTCTGGTGTGTGGCAGACATGCTCTGGTGTGTGGCAGACATGCTCTGGTGTGTGGCAGACATGCTCTGGTGTGTGGCAGACATGCTCTGGTGTGTGGCAGACATGCTCTGGTGTGTGGCAGACATGCTCTGGTGTGTGGCAGACATGCTCTGGTGTGTGGCAGACATGCTCTGGTGTGTGGCAGACATGCTCTGGTGTGTGGCAGACATGCTCTGGTGTGTGGCAGACATGCTCTGGTGTGTGGCAGACATGCTCTGGTGTGTGGCAGACATGCTCTGGTGTGTGGCAGACATGCTCTGGTGTGTGGCAGACATGCTCTGGTGTGTGGCAGACATGCTCTGGTGTGTGGCAGGCATGCTCTGGTGTGTGGCAGGCATGCTCTGGTGTGTGGCAGACATGCTCTGGTGTGTGGCAGACATGCTCTGGTGTGTGGCAGACATGCTCTGATGTGTGGCAGACATGCTCTGGTGTGTGGCAGACATGCTCTCGTGTGTGGCAGACATGCTCTCGTGTGTGGCAGATATGCTCTGATGTGTGGCAGGCATGCTCTCGTGTGTGGCAGACATGCTCTGATATGTGGCAGACATGCTCTGGTGTGTGGCTGACATGCTCTGGTGTGTGGCAGACATGCTCTGGTTCGGTTCTTCCTTCATGGCAGTCACGTCCCTTGGCCTGTGCCTGCACCACCGCTTTGGCGTGTGGCTCACATGCTTTGGATGAGCTCGTACTTCAATTCTCTCCGTTCACCGCTCTCCTCCGGTTTCGCTCCTGTCTCTCGTGCTCGTCTTTCTTACATGCCATCAGATGACCGGTCAGCTGCTCTGGTGCGTAGCGCACATGCTCTGGATCGGCTCATCCTTCACAGCAGTCACCTCCCTCAGCCTGTGCCTGCACCACCTCTTTGGTGTGTGGCACGGTGACCAGCGGCTGGAGAAGAAGTATGGAGAGGCTTTCGACGAGGTGCGTGGGGGCGATTCTAGGTGTCTCTGCGTGAGTCAGGGGGGGTTCAAGGCAGGTGGTTTCCTTTCCTTCACGGAAGTCACCTCCCTCGGCCGGTGCCTGCACCACCTGTTTGGCGTGTGGCACGGCGACCAGCGACTGGAGAAGAAGTATCTGGGAGGGGCGCATTTGAGTGCATGTGGGAGCATGTGGGTGCATGTGGGAGCATGTGGGTGCATGTGGGAGCATGTGGGTGCATGTGGGTGCATGTGGGTGCATGTGGGTGCATGTGGGTGCATGTGGGTGCATGTGGGTGCATGTGGGTGCATGTGGGTGCATGTGGGTGCATGTGGGTGCATGTGGGTGCATGTGGGTGCATGTGGGTGCATGTGGGTGCATGTGGGTGCATGTGGGTGCATGTGGGTGCATGTGGGTGCATGTGGGTGCATGTGGGTGCATGTGGGTGCATGTGGGTGCATGTGGGTGCATGTGGGTGCATGTGGGTGCATGTGGGTGCATGTGGGTGCATGTGGGTGCATGTGGGTGCATGTGTGTAGGTGCTTGCTCTCACATCCCTCGGCTTGCTGCTGCATCACCTGTTTGGGGTCTGCCATATTGACCAGCCCCCTGAGAAGGAGTATGGAGAGGCATTCGATGAGGTGAGCAAGAGAGGATGGGTGCCTTTGGTTGCATCACGGCGATTCTAGATGCATGTAGGTGCATGTAGGTGCATGTAGTAGGTACGCCCATGTGAGTCTCGGTGGGCTGAAGTGAAGTCGTTTCCTCCACCACTGTCGCTCACCCCCCTCCTTTGTCCCATACCCAGGTTTGCAGTCAAACAAGCATCGTTTTCTTTGCAGGCATTCTGGACGGCAGGCAACAGCTGCCCCCAGATAACTACAAGGAGTTTCTCCGCGTGCCGTACCTTCCCTCGTCACCCTTCCACCTCCCTCATTTCACTCACCTGCTGCCTCATCCCCTCCCTCCCCATCCCCTAACCAGGTCCGTAAGCGCATGAGCATCGTCCTGTATGTAGCCATTCTGGACGGCAGGCAACAGCTACCTCCAGATTACTACAAGGAGTTTCTCCGCGTGCCGTACCTTCAGTCGGGATCAGCAGGATTGCCACACGGCATTCCTCATCACTCTTCCTCCCTCCCGCCCGCATTCCCTCCCTCCCCATCCCCTAACCAGGTCCGTAAGCGCACGAGCATTGTCCCCTTTGCAGCCATTCTTGATGGCAGGCAACAGCTGCCTCCAGATTACTACAAGGAGTTTCTGCGCGTCCCGTAAATTCAACCCTTTCATGTTTCCTCAATCCCTCCCCATCCCCTGCCCAGGTCCGTAAGCGCACGAGCATCGTCCCTTTTGCAGCCATTCTCGACGGCAGGCAACAGCTGCCTCGGGATTATTACAAGGAGTTTCTGCGCGTGCCGTACATTGCAATCACAGCCATGACTGTTGGCGCCTACTTCTGCCATCCCCTCATGGTTCAGGCCAGCTTTTGGCTTCACTGGTAGGGAAGGGACGTGTAGCAAAGGATACAAACCAGGCAGCAGCATGTGCCATGCATTGCAATCACGAATGGCCATGACTCTGGGCACCTACTTCTGCCACCCCCTCATGGTTCAGGCCAGCTGTTGGCTTCATTGGTAACTGGATAACATTAGATAGATTGGTTGGGTAGGGTGCGGTTCTTGCTGGGAACTGGAGAGATGTTCTACATTCGATTGCTTCGCGCAGTTTGGTACATATCAAACCAGCAAGCACATTATCTGCGGAAACTTACACCCACTATCATTGACCACTTGTTGTCACAAGGTACTCGGTGCAGGCAGATGCTATTGTACAATAAAGTAATGATTGACACTAACTATAATCGGCCTATAGTGAATAGCGTATTTCTGTGCACCAAACCTACAAGTAATAATTGACACTAACTATAATCGGCCTACATGCACTTTTATCTCATTTAAAACGAGTCTGTTCAAGAAGAGGTTACGAAGATGGTGAAGGAAATCGTGCAGCTGATTTTCACACGTGGTAAATCCATTCTTGATAGGATGCTCAGCTTCCCGCTCCCTCTTTGATTTGCGGCCTGCACTGGAGCATGCATGTGTCGAATGAAGACTGGAACAGGCTGCAGCGGAATGATTATTCTCCGTGTAAAACGACTGCGTGATTTGCTCGTGCCTGTGATTTTTTCTTAGCCGCTCAATGCAAGCCAGCTGAGCTTGCTCACGATCATCACAGGCAACAAATGGTTGAAGATCCAACGAACGGGCAGAACGAAGACGAACGGACTTGGAAAAAATAGCTAGAATAAGAAAATAACTGTCATTTCGTATGGTGAAGGTTATCAGCACCTTAACCTGATTGAGAGCAGGGTGCATTTTCATTCCCCGGTCAGGGAAGGTGAAACAGCGACTAGACCGATACATCTTGCGGGCTGATGTATCTCGACTATTAAATGCGCGGTGAAGGATAACCATTCCTGATGCTGTAAGCATTTATGTTGTGTCGGGTGTGTGTAAATAGTGAGTCATCTTACGTGGTTCGAAGGGCTGCAGCAATTTTATTGCTCCGAGCTTCGTGGACCTTCGTTCGTTGCGCTGGCAACTCAAGGCAACACTAATCAAGTCGGGATTGCAAGCAGGGGCGGCCATTGTTGCTAGTTGAAGCTGCCAAGAAAATTCATACACGCTGCATTTTTGCGATACATTTTGCAAAATATCGGCCAAGGTTGACGGAATCTCGAAGACAGTCCTAGGACAAAGCTCGAAGGGTTAACATCTCTAAGTTTTAGGAATTATGTCACTAGCCATTTAATTCTCTCCATTGTTCCCTTGTAGTCCGTCTCAGAGCGGTCACATTCGGTAGTAGTTAATCTCTCCTTCGTCCATCGCTTTTTCACCCAGTGTTAAGGCAATCCCTACTTACTGATTTCGTCATGGACAGTTTCAAGGGCTATTTTCAAGTAATCGCAGACTGACATTGTGAAGCTTCAGGTTCCTTTGATTTTTTGCAGTGATGGATAGTCATGAGGAGATATGCAGGAACAGACGAGTACGGCCGTCATCGAATCCACATACGCGCGATGATATGAGTCGAACCAAAGGCGAGTGGGCCACCAGATTCACAATCCAGCGTCATGCTGATGTGTACCACGCAACAATAATCGCAGATTATGGCGGGAAACGAGATGCCTCGTTGGCACGTGACGAGAAGTTCCATTGAGGTTACACAGCGCGGCAACCTGTAAACACCAATCACGGGCGACAGCTGTTCACGAAATGACAGCACTCCCTCGACGTGGGTCTTCTGTGGTTCAGAGCAATCCGCATGCCAGCTTGCTCGGGCAGCGCAGCTGAAGACAGAAATTATCCATTCCCGTCTTGTCAACGTGCCCCTTCCCGTAGTATGCCTGCCAACCAAGCCGAAACCCCCCCTCCCATCTATCTCCTCTCACTCTGTCTGCCCCATCCCCATTTCCAATCCAACTCCTGTCTGGAACTGTTCACCCGCCCTTCCATCTCCCTCTCCTCTTGTGGACGCACCAACCCCTATCGCTACCTGTTGTCTGTCCGACCGCTCCCACAAGGATAAGACCACCTCTTCACAGTCAAATTGTTCTCTGCTCAGTTGGTTGCCTTTCTGGATTACCACTAGAGTCCTTAGGACCTCAACTCAAGGTTCTACGTGTGCTTTAAAAATACTTAAATCTCCAATATTCGTCGTAAGACTCACCCAGTCTCGACGACGCCATGGCTGCCACTCGTCCATCAGACGCTGTTCGCAGCTGCTACCCGCCTTTCCCCCGGAAGGACTCTCGCTGTCCTTCCACCAGCGCTAGCGGCTCCAATCAGCCGCACCACCAGTTGCGAAAGGCTATGGAGTCACGATTGGCAGCGTCATCGGGGGCAGTGTCGTCGAATCGCGCATGCGAGAAGGCTGCGCTTGTCTCGACCTCCCAGTCCTCGGCTGCCCCGTCCTCATCTCCACGTGTCATTCCGAAATCTCGCAGCAGCGGGGCGCTCCTCGCCTCATGCCCCATCCCGTTTAAGGCAGGAGTTTCTCCCCTTGCTCCTCCTGCCGAATCATTCATGACCGCCTCGTCGTCCCTGTCGGGTAACCAGACGGTTGCGACAGACCCTTTTTCGCGTCTACCGGACGACGTGGTTATCGAAATTCTTTCGCATCTGGGCGGCGGGGCGCCCGACGTGCTAGCAGCGTCGATGACGTGTCGCCGATGGCAGTCGCTCACTCGCGCCATCCCCGTCCTGCGATTCGTCCCGCGCGACACGAGCCGGGCGGGCGGAAGCGACTGCGCCTCCACGCTCCCCGCTTGTTCCGCCATCCAACGCGAGGAGCTTGTATCGCGTATGGTTCTAAAATCTGCCGGTCTCCAGCAGCTTCAAGTCACTTCCTCCCTCCTCCCCCCTCCCGCCGCTAGCGCCTTTCCCGCGCGTTCCGCCTCCTCCCCGTGCGAGCATGGCGCCGATTGCGCGTGCAGCGGCAGCGCAGAGGCAACCCCGCAGCAGCAGCAGCAACAACAGGAGCAGCACCAGCAGCACCCGCGCGAATTTATCTTCGAGGCGTGGATGCGCCACGCCGGCCCGCAACTGCAGTCGCTTGTTCTCTCTCGCTCTCTCAACGCCGCCGCGAACGGCGGCGGCTCCACGACAATTAACGTCTGGGAGAACGAAGATCTCAGCTTGCATCTCGGGCATATTTCCCGCCACTGCAAGTCGCTGCGGTCGCTCACTCTCGGGTCGCTTTCTCTCGCGGCGCCTACGCTCGAGTCGTGCCTCCGTCCCATGCCCAACTTGCAGGATTTGTCGCTTTCCTGGATCCACCTGACGAACGAGTGCCTTCAGATGATTCTCGACGCAACTCCGAATCTCCGCCGCTTGACGATATTTATGGCGACGGGCTGCCCGCAGATTTCGCTTCGCCTGCCCGCTTCGTTGGAGCACGTTGACTTTGCTTACCTGCGCGCCGAGTCGTGCGCCTTCATCACCGCCTCCTCGCTCAGATCCGTGTCCATTCGCGACATGTTCGTGCGCTCAGTTACCATCCAACAAGCCCCTCGCCTGCGCTACTTCGCCATCGCCAGCGCCAGCCTCCTGGAGGTCTCGGCACCTGAGTCGTGCGAGATCACCACCCTCGATTTGAAAGCGGGTTCCTTCTGTTGGTCCTCGTTACAATCACTCCTTCGCGGTTGCGGCACGGCTCTCAGCTCTCTCGCTCTTGATTTCTTCACCGCGGGATCCGGAGCGCTGTCGTCGGGAATCTTCTCTCTCTTCTGGCTCGCCGCCATGTGCCCCGCGCTTCGCGCCTTGAATCTCGGCTCGCTGCCGTGGCAGCTCGTCCTCTCCTGGGCGACTACCTCCGGCGCGCTTCAGCCGGCGGCATCCTCGGCGGGATCTGCGGCGCGGTGGCCGCAACTGGAGGAGCTTAAGCTTAAGGTTCAGGAGCAGAGGCCCGAGGCGCTGCTGCTGCTGCACGCGCTTCTGTCGAATGTGCCAACACTGAAGTCGCTTCAAGTGGCCACTGCAGTGGATGAGGAGGAAGAGGATGAAGAGGAAGTGGAGGAGGAGGAAGAGGAGGAGGAAGATGAGGAATTCGAGGAGGGAGAGGAGTGTGAGGATGAGGACGAGGAAGAGGAGGTTGAGGAAGCCGAGGAGTATGAAGGAGAATACGAAGATGATGTGGACGAGGATGATTTGATGGAAGTGGAGGAGGGTGCGGAGAGCTCTGACGAGTATGATGACGAGGACGAAAGCATGCCGGTCCGGTCTGGCGGACCTGCCGTTCAGCGTCACATGAGCCGGCAGGAGCTGTTCCTCAAGGGGCTTGTGTGCCTGCAGCAACGATTTTCTGACGTTAACGTCTTCCTGCCGCTGCTCGCTCGCCGGTCTACTTCGTGAACTGGTTTGCCCTAGGATTCTTCAAGAAACCTGATTAGATGCATTTATAAGATAGTAGACCATGTTCAATATGTGTTGTACCCTAATCCAGGGTTTGATGGTGTTACAAGTGCAATTGAGTGAATGAACGAGAATTGCACTATCGAAGCAAAAGTACCATGAGCTAAGGCATGAGCAAAGATTATATAGTGAAACTATACTGGTACCGGTAATAGACTGTGGTTGTCGCGCGACGGGCCTGTGACTGAGGTTGGGAAAAAGTGTCGAAGCGGAGGCCCGGAGCGTGGGTTACCCGCCGAGCCGTGAGGTCGGGGTGCGATGTGCGAAGGTGGCGGACGGATTGTCGATGCGAGAATTGCGAGTGGTAACGGTGCTGACTGTGGTGCTACAGTGATGTACGCGTTGAGCAGGGACACTAAGTAAGGAAAAATGAATTTTTTCGAAAGTGTGTAACACTTTCTAAAAATGTGTATTGTGAAAGCGCAGCTGCCTGTAACGAAGCAAAGCAACGGCGAATTACAATTCGCCGAGTACATAACGAGAGTTGGAGGCCATTCGGCCTCCACCCACGACTTCATTTCATAACTTTGCAGTTTCACTCCAATTCTCGTCCAACCACCTCGACCGTTTCCTTGTCGCTAGAAACTACCTTCTAAGCTAATACTCACTTGCACGTTCAACCCAGGCGCTTGATTTTGTGAAAATAGGAAAACAGGAATGAATGAACTATGAATGAAAGCAGTACAAATATGAAACCCTAACTGGGTTGTACCCCCTATGGGATACCCCACTACAGCCTACACAGCAGTATAAGCTATAGATATGTTCTGACACACCCCCATAGGCAAAGTGGGGGAGAACAAGGGGTCACAAGACCAGTCAAGCAAGACAAAGCAAAGCTCAGGGTGGATCACAAAGTCACCACACAGTCCGAGCACAAGAGCAAGGCCAAAGGCCAGTTCACAAGCAAGAGTACAGACATATATATAAAGCTAGACAAGCAAGAGCAGGTATATATATATGTCACAGTACAAGTGAAGTCAAGAGGAGAGCAAGTGAGGCAAGACAGGCACAAGACCCAGCTGGGTGCAGAAGCGCTGATGGTCACAAGGCGCAAGTGCCTTGGTGAACACATCAGCAGTGTTGGCCTCAGAGGCCACGTACGCAAGTCGCAACTGACCACGCTGCTGCAGCTCACGAGCAAGGAAGTAGCGGAGAGCAATGTGCTTCGTTCTGTGCTCCAAGCGCTGCTCTCGACACAAGGCCAGCATAGCCTTGTTGTCTACGTACAGCACTGGAGGAGAACGAGGCGGCTCTCCAAGGTCAGTCAGCAGGTAGGTGAGCCAGCGAAGCTCCTGTGCAGCCATGGCCCCAGCGTAGATCTCAGCCTCACAACTGGAGCCGAGAACCGAAGACGAGCGAGTAGACCGCCACGAGACAGAGCCGGAACCAAGGCTGAAGGTGTAACCCTGTGACGACCGCTGCGTAGCCTGGTCGTCAGCCCAAGAAGCGTCCGCGTGGCCGGTAAGGACCACTGGACTCCGCCCTCCAAGCACTAGCCCCATGCCTGACGTACTGCACAGGTAGCGCAATACCCTCTTCGCTGCAGCCATGTGCTCCGGTCTGTGTCTCCCAGGAGCAACATAGCGTGCAAGAATGCTCAGAGGGTATGCAAGGTCAGGTCGTGTGCAGGTCATCAGGTACATGAGGCAGCCAACAAGCTCCGCATACGGACCACTCGACTCTACGGACTCATCCGAAGGCAGAGCTGAGAGTGAGTGGCGAGTAGGCAGAGGAGTGGCCTGAGGCGAGGAGTACGTGAAGCCGAAGCGCTGAAGGACCTGCTGCACCATGTGTGACTGAGTCAAGGTAATGGTGCGGCGTGCTCTGTCCCGAGTGATCTGCAAGCCAAGGTAGCTGCGCAGTTCACCCAGGTCTGTGCACGTGTGTCTCTTCAACAGCTCGGACTTCACGTAGGCGAGTCCAGCAGTGTCCGCTGTGGCAAAGACCAGGTCGTCGACGTACACGAGGATGTAGAACGGCGGCAGGGAAGTGTCGGTGCGAAGAAACAGCGACGGGTCAGCAGTAGAAGGAGCAAACCCAAGAGCCGCAAGCGTAGTCCTCAGTGTGTCGTGCCACTCACGCGGTGCCTGGCGGAGACCGTAGACTGGCCGTCGGAGGCTCCACTGGGTGCCAGGAGGGAAAGTCCCAGTGAAGCCAGGTGGACGGCGAAGCCAGATCTCCTCGTGCAGGCTACCCTGCAAGAACGCAGTGCTGAAGTCGAGAGAGTGAAGCTCGTAGTCGCGCTGAGCGGCTATGTGCAGCAGCACCCGAAGAGTAGTCATCTTCGGGGTGGGAGAGAAGGTCTGAAAGTAGTCAACTCCCTGCCGCTGACTGAAGCCACGAGCAACGTACCGTGCCTTGAAGACAGGTGGAGAGCCCGGCGGCCGCTTCACCCTGAAGATCCACATGCCACTGACGATGTTCGCCCCAGGAGGGGGAACCGCGTCAACGTAGGTGCCTGTGGACTTCCAGGAAGCCATCTCTGCATCCATAGCTGCCTGCCACTGAGAGGAGTAGGGACCCTCTACGGCCTCCGCGTAAGAACGCGGAGTCGGGATGTCTAGTGCATCCGGGTCTCCCTCAGGGGCAAGCAGTACAGACGCGAGATGAGGTGAAGCAGCCGCTAGACACTGTAACTCCTCCTGCCTGTCCTCTAGGAAGTCCGTGCCAAGAGCACACTCACCCCCGACGGACGGAGGACAGACAGACGCAGACCCAGCAACAAGACTAGCAGCGTAGTCGAGACGACAGCGAGCAGCAAAGTCGACGAGCTCAGCGACTAGAGCAGACGCAGCAGTGGACTCAAAAGAGGGGTCAGTGACGACAGTAGCAAGCAGACGCGTGACAGTGGGACTGGCAGCACGAAGAGAGTCCGACTCAGGGTCCGCAAGCGCAGGAAGAGAGGACTCAGGAGGAGAAGGCAAAGGGGCACGCAGAGGAGCAGTGGACGGACGTAAAGACATCCGGTGCGTGCCAGGGACAGGAGGAGGACGCTGACGCGAACTGCGACCACTAGCGCGAGCAGCACGAACAGGCGACGCGGGACGAGACGCAGGCTCACGACGCTCAGCAAGACCTCCAGTAGGACCAGTGTAAGGAGAGGGAGCAGGCAGTGGAGAGGAAGGCTCCAGTAGGGGCTGCGACTGGACAGGCGATGGACCCTCTAGTGGAGGAGAAAGACCAAGAACCTGCTGAAGGAGCGGAACGAAGTACGGCCGAGGCCGCGCGGCAGCTCCAGACTCAGCAGGGACAGCACCAGCACCCTCAGCGACAGCACCAGCGCCACCCACACCTCCAGCGGCAGGACCAACAGCAGCAGGCTCAGCACGAACGCCCTCAGCAGCTCCAGCTCCAGGAGGACCTGCAGGGCCAGCAGCTCCGGGACCGGCTGCACCCGCACCCTCGACGGTCGAAGAAGCTCCAGCTCCAGCTCCAGCAGCACCTCCAGACTCAGCAGCACGCCTCCAGCGGCGAGCGAACCACTCGCGCAGCTCCTGTGGAGAGAGGGGCTCCCGGCGAGACGCAGCAGCAGGAGAAACCCCAGGCTCAGCAGCTCCAGACGCAACACCCCCAGGCTCAGCAGCTCCCAGCTCAGCACCCCCAGGCTCAGCAGCTCCCGACCCAGCACCCCCAGACCCAGCACCTCCAGGCACAGCACCCCCCGGCTCAGCACCCCCAGGCTCCGCACCCTCCGCAGTAGCACCCTCAGGCCCAGCACCCCCAGCAGTAGCACCCCCAGGCTCAGCACCCCCGCGCACAGCACCCCCAGAGTCAGCACCCCCAGGCTCAGCACCCGCAGCAGCACCAGAGTCACCAGTAACCTCGACCGGGTCAACGGCGTCTACCTGGGACACACCTGAGGGGGCAGGAACCTGAGGGGGGAGGGGGTCTACCGGGGGGGGAACCGGCACAAGGAAGTCCGGGGGAGGGGGGAGGGAAGGAGTGCGGTAGGGGAAGAGACGGTAGAAGGGGACTGACTCGTCGAACGTGACGTCCTGGGAGGACAGAACACGACGAGAGGAGGGGTGGTAAAACTGCCACCCTGGGGCGTCAGTGGGGAAGCCAAGGAAGACACAGGGAGCAGCACGAGGGGACAGCTTGTCCGCAGACAAGTCGCGGACAAACGCCCGAGATCCCCAGACACGGAACACAGACGCATCGCCAACCTTCCCCGTCCACAGCAAGGCTGGGGACATCGCTGGCCGAGAGACCCGGGGGTGAAGGTTGAGCTGATGCGCCGCGTACCTCACCGCAAACGGCCACAGAAAATGGGGGGCAGCCGCATGCATCATGGACGTACGAGCGACATCCATGACCATGCCAATGCGGCGCTCAGCAATCCCATTTTGCTGTGGTGAGTCCGGAAGCGTGAAGGTCTGGCGGATCCCCCGTGCACGACAGTAGTCTCGCAGAAGGCGAGAAGAGAACTCTCCGCCTCTGTCAGAGTGCAGACGCAGAACAGGAAAGTCCGAGCCGAAGCTCTTCCTGAGCTGGAGACGAGCCTCGCGGATCCAGTCGATCAGCACCTCAGTGACCGCACCCTTGCTGCGCAAGGGGAGGACTGTGGTGTAACGCGAGTAGTCGTCAACCACCAACAGGAAGTAGCTCTCGTAACCCTGCCCACGGACGGGGGCTGGGCCCCACACATCCATGTGAAGCGTCTGCAGGGGAGCCTCTGTCGGGGGGAAGTGGGAGGAGTGAGGAGTAGCCCGGAGGCGACCCTCGACACAGGGGACACAGGAAGGTCCTGGCCCGGAGGGGAGAGGAGGGAGAGACTGGGGAAGACCAGAGACAAGGACACGGGAAGCCATGCTCCGAAGACGGGGCAAGGAGGGGTGGCCAAGACGGTGGTGCCACAGGAGAGTCTCGTGAGACAGGAGGCGACAAGAACAGGGGGCAGACTCAGGACCTGACCGGGACGCAGCAGCAAGTACCTG